AAATGAACATTTTAACTATTTAAGTAGGTTTATTAAATCCTTAATTTTCAAGCACCAACTTAATTCCCCTTCCGAGATAATAAAATTGTTCAAGAAGTAGATTACCATAAATCATCAAGTACATGTGTATCACAAGATAAAATCTGTTAAGTATTCTTGTTTACGCAAATTTTCATCTTCCTATCTTTCTTCTTGATTTAATCACTAAGTAGCATCTTAGTCACGCAGTCTGAATTGATTAAAAAGAAAAACTCAATAATTGGAAATAAAATTCAAATTAGGAACAATTCAAGAGTATCTGATATGTAGGGTGGCTATCTGGTGTTATTGTTAAGGTACCGTACCGTTTTCTTGGTTGATGATGATTAGTTCCTATTGATCCACTGTGAATCGTAGGGTTTTAATAAAGTGGTTGATCAGATTTCTGTCCCTGGCTATAAGAGCTACTTCTGCTATTTTCTTTTTTGTTGTTCTGCCTCCTTAGTGTATCCAGGCATCTGGTTTCTTCTTAAACAAGTCTCCTTTAAGCTAATCAGATAGCTTGATTGCCAAGTTCATCTCGAATAACTGACACTAGGGATGTTAGGGTCGTTGGTGACGTATTTTTGTTCTTTAAAACTTCCACTAATCCAGTCTCATTAGTTAACAGTTTTCATTTTTAAACAAAATTTAATAAGTCATGAAACATTTTTATTACTTCGAATACATTGCAGAAAAAAAAAACACTTGACCTGCACGAACATTCTGTCGATTATTTTTCTCATTCATCTCATTTCAATTTACGACAATGCTAAATAAAAAGAAAAGAAAAGAGTTTGATGATCTAAAAAACTACAGAAGCAACAATAATGCTAAGTCTGGTTAGATGTATTTTGTTTGGGTTATCTCATCATATGAATTTTCTTTTTCAATGCAATGCTATTTATAGACTCACTAGAATCAATGAGGAAAAGATTGAGACACAAACATTTTGTTGCTGTTGATGCTGTTTTGTTTTAATTTATTGAGAGCAAGAAAATGAAATAAAAAGAAGACAAGACACAGTCGTGCACTTTCTCTTTCAAATATTTTTGCAAATTTGAGTACGGCATTGAAAATTTAAGTATTTTCATTTATATGTCGAATGCCATACCTAAATAAGCAGATAACACAGCTTTATTGACTGCAAACATTTAATGACGCGTCAACCCTTCACGTCATTATCATGTGCGTCACTTATAGCCACAAATATTTAATGTTTACCGGACAAACAGGTATCATATCCATCATTACTATTTACATAAAGTTTGTTGTCTTCAGAACAAATTTATTCTGGTGGCGTCGATTCTAACCTTAAGAAGGCATACAATGAATGTTTGAGTTCCAGATGATCTCAGGCGCTATCCAAACAGACTCCTTGGAATCAGTCCCGGATAATAAAGCATGACCGAGACGCACGATCATCATTTCTCAAAATGCAAATAAATGAGATCATGAGTCGATAATTAGCACTTCCAAAGTACTCTTATCCATATGATAAATATAAATAGTGTCAATTGATAGTGGCAGTAGGCAGTAAATTACAGCATCTTCACTTCTTTTGTGAGTTCTATAAAGAATTTGGTAAATAATTGCTTAGCATGTTTATGGTTGTACACGAGGAACTTTAACGATTACGATACTCATGTTGTGTATGTCTGTTAAGAAACTGACAATATAAAAAGTAAATATTGCACTTAGTAACTTTTTTTGGATAGATTTTGATTAGTGCCAATTTTAAAAATTTCAACTAGTTAACACATTTGTATACAAATAGCTTGATTGTTGAGCTTGTTAGTGACAAGTTTTACTAGTTTATCAATTCGACGACACTATATGCACAAGCATGTAGGAAATCGAACAAAAAAGCTTGCATTTATGAAATATTGCTAAATAATTGATTGAATTTAATTGCATATTAATTTGCATAAATTTACATAAATTTTCAAAGCATTAAAACTGCAAATTCCTCCTTTTTCTCTCTTTCTGTTTCCTTTGATCGCACTAATAAATGAAAAATTTATTCAATATATCTCAACACATCACATCACCAGCATCGACATCATGCAAGTTTTGTATAAATAAAATATTTCGCATTTTTATGAATGGGATGAAAGGAAAGAGAATTTAGCAAGTAGGGAATTATTGCGATAAAGCTTTAGAGCGCATTTTAGCGTTTATTAATAATTTAATTACTTAAATTTCGAACTAAGTGGCTGAACACAAGGACATTGTCAGAGCTGAACAGTGCTTTCTTCACTGCTTTAGTCAAGCATTACCTTAGCACGTAAATGCTCACCTTACCTTATTCTGACTACACCAATAACTCTAAAAAACCACAAAGTTTACCGAAATTGGATTTAAAGATCATAAAACTTTTCCCTTGTCAAGTAGCCAAACCGGACGAACAACAGCACATGCTCCCAATCAAACTCGCTAATATAAAATTTTTATAGCAAAGCGGTTAATGAATAATTTATGGTTGTTAAGTGCGTTTATAATTGGCATTTAATATTGACTGTGTCCAACATATCATGTGAGCATAATCGTTTATCATTCCATTGAATATGCTTGAGCCCCCACGAATAATAACTTTTTTTTATTGAATATCACGGTTTATTGTTAATCCTGATCTTTTGACTTTCATTTAATTAGTGCAGTATTGACATTGAGATTTCGATGTAGTTTTTATATCTTACTGTTATGGCTGTACATTTTTTATGAATATTCATAAGGCTTTATTGAGACATCTTTAAATTTTAAAAATTTCTATAATAATGAAAAATTGATTTTTGAGCTCCCAAAAAAGAGCATCTCTTCTTTTTCGAATACTTTGAAGTCAATGACTCAATTACATATGCTTCTTCTGCTGATCGTCTTTTGTTAAATAACTCAACAACATCAAATTTTATTTCATTCCATCTTCTAACTTTTAAAATAAACAATAAATCAATGGAAATATTTTTCTGTAATTTTTTGTGAAGGTGGAGGAACTGCGAGGTCATTTCAAATACTTTTCATTGTTGAGTATGTGATGTATACATTAGACTTGTAAGAAGTGAATTATTGATTGAAATGTAAAGATCATACTTAGTTGCATGACAATTCGGATGTGTGGTAACAAGAGGCGAAGTTCTGGGTGCCTTAACACAACATCAACTATTTATAGCAACCCAGAATAGTCCATTTATCCCAAAAATATCACTTTATTAACATCTCGAAAGGCACAAGTCGGTTAATCGAATATAAATCTGGCGCGAAGCCGAAATGACTCTGGCATGGTTCTAGCTTTGAATAAAATCAAGCACCACGCCAGAGTTACACTGGCTTGGTGCAGGATTTCTGATCGATTAACTGACTTGTGCCATTCGGGCATTATTGAAATAATATTGAACATCATCGAATAAAGATTAAAATATAAATGTAATCCATAATTTTGCATTAATCGATCATGAGCACTTAATGTAATTTCTTATTTAAAATGAAAATCGACTGTCTAGACGTGATGTTGATTGAAAGTTTATTTCAGAGGAATGGAAAATTTCATGTTGATGAAAATTTTTAATTGATATTAAAAAGATTTGATGATGTGCTGATTGAATATTGATTTAACGGAGGATATACAAGCTCATTTGTTACCATGAGCTCACAGAGTAGCTTTAGCTTGATTATAATTCCCCAAAATTCAACATTCAATTCAAAAAAAATTTGACCCAATAAAGTACATCATAAGAAAGTTTTAATCCATTCATAAGGATTTAAATGCAATGCACTTGAATAATAAACAAGATGACAAGAGATGAGTTCATAAAAAGTTAAGTCTTATAAGTAAACATCATTTCATTCAAGCTGATCGGATTAACTGCTTGTTTATATGAAAAGAACCATCGTAAATCATTTAAAATGAGGAATAATCTTCAATAAGTGCATAATTTTTTTAAAATTAAAGACAAAAGAGGGGCAATAAAACTCTTGAATATAAAGCTTATTGGATAGACTTATGAATCTTAAATGAAAGAAAATTTAAGAAGTTGATGTTAAGTTGAAGGATTTAATACATAATGAATGACTTAAAGATGTGAATTACATGCCCAAGCATTCATCAAAATGGGGATTTTCTATTCAAGAAGATCAACAGCTTGTAATGCTTTGATAAAGATGAGTTTAAGGCTTTTTAGTCAGTGTTGTTATTTAATCGATCTAATCTATGAGTTTTTTTTTTGGAGAAAGTTGTGGATGTTGAAACGAATTTTCAGAGATCGAAGCCGATTTTTTCGGCTTAACTCAATTTTTGATTTTTTTGATAGAAAAAAGCCATTTGACACCCATTTCAAGTATTTAAATTGAACTTTACATGCTTTACTATGATTCTGTGTAATATTTTGTCAGCATGTAGCTATAGGAAGCTCAGAATTTCAAGTTAAAGAATGTTAAGCCGAAATTTATGCCGATCGGCTTAAAATCGGCTAAATTGAAATTCTGAGCTCACTATAGCTACATGCTGACAAAATATTACACAAAATCATAGTAAAGCATGTAAAGTTCAATTTAAATACTTGAAATGGGTGTCAAATGGCTTTTTTCTATCAAAAAAATCAAAAATTGAGTTAAGCCGAAAAAATCGGCTTCGATCTCTGCGAATTTTAAATTAAAAAGTTTTATTGGATCTTATTCAAAATATATTCTCATTCATGACATTCGCAAAATCCGAGCCTACAGCTCTGTAATTACAACATATGAATCTCAAAACAAAAACCTCATAAATAAAGTTCCAATGTAACTTAATGTTAAAATATGAGTTTCCCGTTCGATCATCATAAATTTCTAAAAACACATTTTGCTTCTCATTCTGTTGTCATTTTTATTTCATTTTAAAATTCCAATCATCAATTAAGTTAGCTTGTTGCAGTTATTTATGACAATTGCTGTGACAATAATTAAAAGTCATTACTTAATTGTTTGTTTTTCTTCCTATTTTACAGTGACAATCATATGACAATCTCTAATGGAATCTCAAAGTGATCATTAGTGATGCTTTTTATCATCAAATGATAAAGAAGAGAAGAAGATATCACAAGAGGAAGTTTGGAAAGTGAACAAAGAAATATTTGAACAGCATCAACTGTATATTAAATAAGAAAATGAATTTCATTCATAAAATTTTAATGCTGCAACATCATGTGACATTAAATAGCATCATAAGCCGAGTCATTTTTATATTAGTGATATTATCGTTAGGGCATAGCATCCAGGTGAGTGTATTTATTCATATCTGAGAGGATTAAATGATTAACACATTGTTGCAATTTTCTCTTGATCTTTTTGAGCTTCTCTGTTGCTTAATTTGCGAGAAATTTCATTGCCATTTCATAAGTGAGATGAAATGAATGGCTATTATAGCGCTGCATGAGGATGATTAAAATCGTGGCAACAAAACTCGTGAAATTAAGGCAATCGCATAAATTGCAATTACAATTACATTTCTTCCTGAGCTCATAATTTGGGAATTTGATATTAAAAAATTGAGTTTTATCTGTTTGTCTTTTGTAGGTATCAGATCTGGATACCTTTCGCATTATTATTAGGGCCTCGACATTTTTTTAAGGAGTTTTGCTTAACGGAAAAAAATAATTTGAATTTTTCACTAACACTATCATACAAAACATCAAAAATTAAATTCTCAAAATTCTTAATTATTCAATCATTAATCTCAAATATTATGATTTGAATACGAAAAGAAGATGACACATTAGCTTCTCTGACTATTTTAAAAGTCTTTTCATCATTATTGAGTGATATTTTCGTGACTTTTCAAATTTCATTTCAATTTTTGTTTGTAAACAAACATCTCACGACATAAAAAACTCAAAAAATTTAAAACCGATAAAATTTTTTTAACTTAATTATGTTCATTTAAGTATGTTTCCAGGACAATTTATAAAGTTTTTTGAAGCTAAATACAAGAGAATAAAATTTCTGATCTAAAAAATACATTTGAAGATATATCAATGAAAGCTGACAAAGTTATAGCAAAATTCCCAAGAAATTATTCGTGAGTGACGCTTAATTAAAGTGATTTTACGTCATAACTGCTTAACTTTAGGAAGTGAGTTGTATGTCAAAAGATACATATTTTAGATTTAAAGCGTCACTCACAAATAGTTTTTTTTCGTCGGGGCCCATTATTAAGGTTTTGATTAAATTCAGGTCCGTTCTGACAATATTTTCCATTTTAACGTAATCTTGTAGCTCTCGTTCCTATTTCTCCTGCTTTACTTCAAGTTCCTGATCCGTTCCTTAACCCATCGTTACCCAAATGCCAAATTATGGCTTGATCTCGGAAATCAAGCATTCGAAGTATCTAAACTTCTGAAAAACTTGTGAACAAATTTGGAAATGGCTGGATTCGAATCGATCTTCGAGTTTCCATTCCAAATTTGAGTCAAGTGCCGTACCTTTTCGACCAGCAAGGCACTTAACTGCTTAACACACAAATGATTTTAAAATCATTTTCAGTTCAAAAGAAAAATAAAGATCAAGCCCCTAACCAAAAATTATTATACTTACCTACTTACTTGCCAATTAACCATACCAAATGCAATACTGTCTCTGTCAAGAGCTTCTTTTCAAGAGTTCTTGCGTCGCCCGCGTGATCTTTTGCCATCTACAAAAACATTCTTAAAGACTTTATTAATGGGAGCTTCAACAGGTCTCCTAACGACATGTCAAGCCCAACGGAGCCTGTTGACTTTGATTCGTCGTACGAAATCAGCTTCATTGAAAAGCTAATACAATTCTGCGTTGCTCCTGCTCTTGTAAAAGTCACCTTCTCTCTTCGGTCCAAATATAATTCGCAAAAATTATTGTATAAAGAGTAATACTTAAGGAATTAAACAAAACTGCGCATCAAACTTCTAATGCTGAAATTCCTTACTTATCTTGATGTAAAAAAAATGTTAAATGACATTCGTGGCAAAAAGAAATAAGCGAGCGATTATAATCCAGGAAGTATCATTAGTAATTCATAATTGTCGCATTGCCTTTTCACATATCAAGAGAAAGAGAGAGAGAGAAACTGCACAAAACGCAGTTTGAAAGTTAAAAAAAGTGATGATAATTTATTCACAATATGATAAAATGTTAACATATAAATTGATGTTAAATGGCGATGATAAATCATATTGTAAAATTATGGAAGATTAATGTGATGATTTAAAAAAAAATGTGTTCGGCTATCAAAAAGATTTATTGGACATAAATTGATATGAAGACGAATGCTGAGCAACTTATGACAAGTTATCATGAAGTCTTTAAACTAAAACTGATGGACTTGAAAATAAATTTTGCACCTTTTTTAATTTTTTTGAGTTTACTGTTAAATGAATTAGCAAGTCCATGAATCTCGTTATAAGCGTATCATGATAATATTTAAATGTCCCACATTTCATGGAAATCCGCTTACGATATAGTTTTTTTTGGCTATAAAATTGCGTTAGATAATGGATTTATTTTATATTGCTATTAGGCGCCACTTATTTCGCCTAGATATGGACAGAATTTTTTATTACAACACAGAAGAGCTTCAAATTCTTAATTTTATTACCGCAGACAAAATTTCATTCATCTGCAAACTTATTTTTAATCTGATTTTATTAATTAAAGCATCAATTTTTATATCAAATGTCATAAACGCATGCCAATTCAGCAAAAATATTTTAATGACTTAAACTGACAAGAACAATCAAATTTTTTTTTATCAATGGGAAAATTTGAGGTTCTAAGGTTCTGTGGTTAGTTTATATTCTTTATAGGATGTTATAGCTAAAGTCATTTCTTGAATAGATTCTATTTAGCCAGGATTAAGATAACATTGAGGATCTTATTGAGCTTTCAGCATGCCTTTTGATTCATAATTCTTAAAGAAGACTCAAAGCTACATTCTTACAGCCAGTTTGAGGAAAATACTATTAAGGTCGATTGTTCAAAAATACAAAGTATCAGTTATAATAACCTGAGATCCTTATATTGAGTGAACGGGTCGATTCTCAATCACCAACATTTGAATGTCCCTTACACATTTTAATATTATTTGGGAAGTCACACTTGATACCCGAATCGTTCTTATTTAAATAAAGAAGGTCCAAAAATAAGTGTCAAATTTTAAATATTAAAGACTAATCACGCACAGCCTGAAGATAAGGTGGTGTGACTAGAAAATGTGAATTACGTGGTAGATTCTCAATCAGAAAATGTTTCGAATATCATGACAAAAAGAGATCCTTGGTCTCGTTATATGTCACTCGGGATTGTCTAATTGTTCATTACCATTGCACCCCAAGCTGACATTCAGTTGAAATTTTTTTTCACTGTTTTCATCAATTAAAATCAAGTCTGTCATCTTTTACTTAAATCATTCAGCACCAATATCTTCAAAAGACACTTGATAAGTGCCACAAGTTGATGTAATGTCAACACATGTTCTATTCTACTTTGAAGATGAAGAAGAACTTTTTTTGAGAAGAATTATTTTCGGAATTAGAAGACAGAAAGAAATCAGAAACAGAAGTCAGTCGTCGGTAGTAAAGAGGGAATATCTAAATTTCACACATAAACTGATTTATGAGCTGTTTGATGTTGATGCGCGTACAATAAAAGAATTGAGAGTAATGTGAATTATAAATAGACTTTCGACGCCCCTCATCTGAAATTTGATTCTTGATGACGTTCTGAATATGAAACTGCTTTCAATTTCTCATTCATCAAATAAAAAAATGTTCAATAAGGAACAAAAAGTTTATTGAATTATCCCATCATAAAGAAATTTATAGTCTTCAATTAAATTGGTAAACAAGGAACAAAGTTGCAAAACTAAGTGACAAACAATGTGGCGTATCAGAAGTGACATAAATGACTTTAATTTAAAATAGAAAATTGAATAATTACTAGCAATTGGGGTCGCATATTGTCAATTTTATATATTCTATAATTGCAAGCTTGATTTATGACTTCTTTTAATATCCATAAAAACTTTTTATAGCCATTTGATGAAATTTCTCAAGTCATAAAATGAGCTTGCTGTCTGTAAACACTTTTTCTGCTTTGGTCAATTAAATGACAATTGCTGCTTGTAACTTTATGTGGTTTGTTATTCGTAGGTGCAAATGTTAATGATGCACGTGATGTTATGCATGTGTTGAGAGAAACATTCGTTAATGATGTCCATCAAATTTGAGTGTTTTGAAGTTCAATACGTAGGTTCAACTCCTTAAACTTCTTGCTAGAGCTACTCCATATCGCACAACCACAATACACAAATTTTAACTGCCATCCAAAGTGCTAGACGTCATTAGTAAACTACCTTCGAGGTCTTTTGGTATTAAAATTGCATTTTGATGACTTTGAACCTTTCTTGGCCTGAAAAATGATAAAGTTTAATTAGTTGGATATTCCTTAATCTCTCACAGCATGCAATTATGTTCATTTTGACTAAATAACTTTACAATTTTGTGTCCAGTATAAATCATAAGTCAAATCCTGTTCAGATTTTAAAAAAAATTGAAGATCCAGCAAGATTTTTTAAAATTTATGACACTGATTCTTTTAACATGCTATTGGAAATTTAAGTCAGCATCAAATTTCCCCTAACAAAAAAAAATGCACACAAGAGGTGCTTATGGATTTTTTAAGACACGGATCTGCGTGAAGCATTTTTAACATGCTTTTGATTTATAATTGAAGTTTCTCATGACACTAATTTGACATAAACAGTCATTGTACCTCTCAAGTTGTTCATTTCTTTCTGCCTTATTTTCAAGATAAAAGCAAAAAAATTCTCAGCTTCACATGTGGGTGGCCGAAATAAAAATGAGACATTTTAGCTTCATAAAAAAATATTGTTTGCGATTTTTTAATAAGGAAGAAAATTTTTATGGAAATAAAATGAAAGATTTTAATTGAAAAAGTTTGCCATAAAAGAAATTAAGACATTTTGCGGCACATAATATTTATGTCTGTTTAATTAAGAAATTAATCGATAGATTCATAAATGGAAATCATGTCTTTTGTTAATTAATTTTTGGTTATTATAAATTTAGACTAGGAAGTTTATGGTTTTTGAAGTATATGGCGACACTCTGCTTTTAAATGAGGATATAAGTGTCATTTGGTGCTGTTTATTAGCTGCGGCTAGATTAGAAAGAAATTTATCATTCAAATTTAAAATTGATCTGAAAGATACATCAAATGGATCTTGTTTTTAACGATAAATCTAAGATTCTTAATCTACACCACAACAAACAGCAACTGTTGCCTCACAACTTATAATAACTACCTTTCCAAAAGCCTTTCACATGCAACAATCCTATCAATCAATCCAGTAGTCAAACTAATGTGTCAAAAGTGACAAAATTGCAATTCCAACATGCACATCACATACTTCTTCTTTAAAATATATTCACGTCAAGTGACAAGTCAAAGCATAATGCTTCCGTAAAACCCTACATATTCAATCTGTTGCAATATGTTTATGTGACATAACTACAAAGTAAACAAAACATTCCTTCAGCGATACTTTACACTTTATTAAGACATTTAAAATTGCATGGAATAAATAATATTTTCGATCAAATAAAGACATTACCATAAATCAACTCAGTAGACATGTGTAAGGTATACATTTATATTATTGTATACGTATCAACTGATGGATTTGGTAACAAACATTTATCTCTTTGGAGACAGAAGAGAAGGAATATTAACGATTCGATTTTGCTCATTTTTTTTATACTGTCATATTTTACATGATGACGAATAAATGGTGTTTACATCTCTTCCTCACTCTCTCAATAACTTTTATTTCACATTCGCCTACGGCAACAAATGAGTTGAAGAAATGAAAGAAGTTTTCATTCATGAATATTTTGCTGGCTAGATAGAGCGAACATTAATATCTGTTTTGTCTGGTGTTAAAGATTTCCTGCTGATGCGTGGATGTTGTGCATGATCATTATTCAACTTACCAAACATAGCGCACTCAAATTTCATTCATAACTTATGTTTTAAATCATTTCTCACTGATTCTTATTGTTATTATCTTTTTCCGTTGTGGTTTGATTCCGCGACATATGTTATTGTTGTTTCAGACGATCTTGTCCAACATGCCAGACTTAAAGGTCGATAGATTTTGAGTATACAATTTGCAGACAAGTTCTAAGACGTATAAGAAGTTCCAAGAATTTGATATCAAATAAACATTCAGGTTTTGTCATATTTAATAACTGCCACCAAAGTCATCTCGAGTTCCCTCCCAAATCTCAACAATGAGCAATTTGTTGACCTTAATTTCGTTAAACATAATTGATGGAATATTTTTATCGTTCCGACTCAATGTAAGCTATTAAAAAGCAATAAACATGTCTATTAAGTGTCTCTTTCGAAAACGAATGTAATAATGACATTTAGTCAAATGTGAGTTATTGATTCTAGTTGAAAAACAAATTAAAAGATTTACAAAATAAAATTTATTGTCTCGGTACGAGGGCGGTGAGAGCAGTAATTCTTGTGATGATTTGAGTTCACTGGATGATTGATGATCAAGCTTGTCCAATGAACTGGGAGTTTTGTATGTGGAATTCGGTGCTGAAATATGATCTAGCAATAGTACTTCCTAGATCTGAACAAATCTTAATCAGATATTATTTATTAATAAAACCGACAATAAGCGAATTCTTGTAGCAATGCATCATCAATTGATGTTTGTTTACATTTCAAACATTTTTAACATCCAAAACTCGTACTTTTGCATTACAAAAACCTTACTTCTAAGTTTTTAATTCGACTCATCAAACCATTTGGTCACAGCATTTCTAATGTAGATAAATAATGAAAAAAGAAGCACTTCTGTAGCTTTATGCTTCATAAAACCCCGTTTTAAAAATGCATTTGTTATTCAAAATTTATCTTATTAAAATAGGCAATTTATTAATTTGATTGTAGTTTCCTCTCGACTTCTCTAATGTTGCATCTGTCGCCAACTTATTTTTCTACACAAAAAAGCACTTATGCCACATTATTTAAGATTATCATAGCTGTAGAAGAATTATTTCTGGTCAATTTATGCTAATTAAATTCCTTAATTTCATTAACAAAAACAGATTGAGGAGCATTTGCCAGCAACATTCATAATTGCTATCGAAACACACTCTTGTTAAGTATCAAATTTATGTCTTTTGGAAGAAGAAAAATTGCTTCTGATTGCCACCAATTATGACTTAATCAAAAATAAATTCATTGTATTGGCTTCTACTGTCTCGTATTGATTACCTCGATTGTCAATTATCGAATCAAACGTGACAGCAGTAAAGTGAATAAAGGAACAGAATGTGATGACTTTGTATCTTGAAATATTCTATGATGATGACTTTTTTCAATGTTAATGGGAATATTCAATATTATGGCATGTGAAGTTTTTGGAAGTAGAATTGACTGTTGAGGTGGAAATCTTAATTAATTTTAAAATGGGTTAGTTCGCTTATTATGTATCGAGTTGAGCAGTGAGGTAGAGTTTGAAATTGTTTGATAAGTGTTAATATACGATATTAACAAATTTACTTATCTATGATATACTTTTATACTTTTTATAAATTTCACTAGATGTCACTTTAGTATATCCAAATTATGCTTTAGGTTTGAATTATTTCATGTCATTAATGAATTTGATAATCATTATGTATTTCATAATTTATTGTAATGTATAGCTTTAGAATGACGTTATGCTAAAGCTGAATATACTTTCATTCAAGGGCATAATAATTGCAGTGCCGTGTGCAATTTGGTGTGCACATTCCTTTGTAAGGCCTTGAAGCAATTAGTATAAAAAAAGATAGCATAGCATGAATAAATTAGTCTATTTTTTATTATCAATAGATCCAGAACTTCTTGTTTTAAATATTTATCAACTTCACCATTTGCAGTTGTGCAACAATAAGTATATAGCTTCAAAGATGATAACTGACTTTTGTTGACATTTGATTTGAATTCGTAATAGATTCAATTTAATTTCGAATTATTGCAGAATATTTAACGTTTTGCTCAAATTTAAAAGATATCCTGAAAGACACATCATTTTGGTATCTAATCACATTCAGTTTTCAAATCTTACGTCATATTTCAATTATAAACTAGGGAACTTATGATTTATGAAATAGAATAAAATTTAAAACAAAAGCATTTTATCAAACAAAAGAAAAATTTAAATAAAATTAACATTAATCAGTAAAAACCTTAGCAATTTAAATGAACGACCAATCAAATAGATTGAACATCTCCATTTTCTCATGAAAACACCCTAAATCTATAGATATTTATTGTGTCTATTTTCAATAATATTTAAATCACCTAATGATGACCAATAAAAGTTTTTTTGCTTCAATCCCATCATAAAAAATTGATTTCTTTTTATAGTAAATAATCATTTAAGTTACGACTTTGAAATCACTTATGAATCAACACACTTTTGACTTTATGTTTTGTCGCTTTGTTTGAGCTTTGAAAGATCCAGCATTTACATTAATCGCTAGTCTGCAAATTAATTTATTTTTTATAAGATTTAAATTTGGAAATTAGCTGATCAACTTGGTTATGAATGAGAATTGATTATTAGAAAAAAATGTAACCTACACGCTTTATGTAACAGACGAATATAAAAATAATCCATCCAGTAAACATTTTAAGTCACATGTGTTTATATTGAGATTATTTTTGATGTTCATTTTATGGCTTGTTTATTTAATGTTCCTAACATGAATTGAAAATATTTTTCCATCTTAAAGTTAAGCTTTAAAGTCAAGACATCGGTCAATGGTTTGTTGCTATAACCCTACAACATTTACATGTTACAAGAAACTGCACCGCAATCATGTTTTTTTGCCTGACATAAATCAATTGCCATAAAAATGTTTGAAAGAAAACTTTCGACATTGAACTTTTTATTGCCAAAGGTGGAATTACTCAAGTGGCAGTAAATTATTATAGAAATAGAGATTTACTTAATTCTTAGAACTAATTTATGGATGCTGTAAATGATTAATTAAAAATCTTTCGATGAATCAACTCTTGTTGAGATTTAAAGCTGTAGGAGACTGTAAGTCTAATAAGTGGGATCAATTAGGCAATAAATTGTAGCAGTAAGTAGAATGAAGGCTAATACGACTTTGTTGTTCAATTTAGATGAGATTATTCCATTTTAAAATTGTTGTTCTTTGAAATTTGGATCAAAGCTTCTTCCTGGATAGATTAATTAAATTGATCTCTTTTTAATAAGACCATTAAGCATATGGAAGTGTAAACCATCACTTATCGCTCTCAAACTTTTTGCATTTCTAATTTACTAAAATTTGAATATTTTGAAAGTTTCAAGATGTAGCTAATGCCTTCCTTGTTAGATTAGAGGATATGACCATGCATTTATTCTTCTCCTTGATCTCCTCATTCAGTATAAACAGATGTCAGCATTAAGAAAATTGCAACAACATTGAATTTCAGCCAATTCGCATGTGCCCCAAATAATTAATTCAATTCCTTTCATCTCTCGGCAGATTAATGATGTAGTATTAAGTAAGTCACCATCACAAATTTCCAGTAGCAATGTGACAAGACTGAAAAGCAACAGCAGTGAAGTCAACAGTGACGAGAAGAATATTTTTCAAATAAATTTAGATGACAAAGTCAATAAATATAAAAAAGTATCAGATCATAAAAAGTCGAGTATCTTTACGCCATGGAGCTCATGGAGCGATTGTGATAGACGATGTAAGCAAAAGAGAACGAGAAAATGCATAAAAAGGAGAAAGTGTGGGAGTGTGAAACAAACTGAGGAGAGAATTTGTGAAGAGTACTTGTGAGTTCTACTGGATGTTAATCCTTATTTATTCACTAATTAAATCATTTCAGATGTCAAAGAAACAGTAACTCCAATAGTAATCATAAAAATAGATATAAAAAACGCAATAAAAATATTGAATTAGATCAGTTCGATCCATATATTGCTGACGATGAGTACGATACGAATGACTTTAATGATGATGACGTGAGACTTAAACGCCATGAAATAGAAAATAGCAATCGTATTGTTATGAAAGTCGTTAAACAAGGAGATTATCAGTATAAACAGTTTGATCATCGAAAGTCTGGTGGACGAGGTCTTGGTGATATTCAACAGAGCTTCTTTTTACCCGTAAATTTAACATTCTATAATTCACAAATATCTCATAAAAATTCCATCAAATTAAAAAGTGGATTTTCAGCATATAATAATAATGAAGATTATATTGACGCCGACTATAGCGATATGGCTGATAACAGCAACAATAATTTTAATGCAAATAATGATGAATTCGATGAAGAAACTGATATGAAAGCTGGTGTCGAAAGAGGCAAGATTAAAGCTGTATTTGAAGTGCCACGAAAGCCTGTATCAAATTATAGTAAATGGAGTCGTTGGAGCAAATGTTCCCCAAAGTGTATTACGAAACGCTACAAAAAATGTCGACCGCATGCCAGACAGATTTGTAGCAATGACATTATCCGTGAAGTCGCATATTGTTATACTGAAGGAAGCTTTTGTGAGGAATGGATAAGTACGCAAATTACAAAATTAAATGGTGTGGAAACTACAACTCGAGTAACGACGACAGTTCCTACAACAACAATACGATCACCTCGAGCATCGCGTCGTACAGAATCACCTTTATCTAATTCCATTTCAAATTTTTATGGACCTGGAAAGAGAAAAAATAAAACAAGCTTATCAGACAATCGTGCACAAAATTTTCAATGTGGATTTCCATCAATTCGCAATAAAAATTCAGATTTTACACTAAAAATCATCGGTGGAAAAGTAGCTAGACGTGGTGCTGTGAGTAGCGACTAATTAATTTTTTTTGATGAGCATTAATTAACTGATTTATGTAAATTTTTTATTATCATTATATCATCAACAGTGGCCTTGGCAGGTTGCAATTCTTAATCGTTATAAAGAAGCGTTTTGTGGTGGAACTCTGATATCGCCAAATTGGGTCTTGACAGGTGAGAATCGCATCGTAAAGTCATTGAATTTGATTTACTTAATATTACTGACTTTCTGCTTGCTTCTTTTACGTTCTTTTGGAGTTTATGGTAGTTGATTTGGCTAGCTTTGACATAGAAAATAAATAGCACTAATTGGATCTTAATCTACGGATTGACATTTGAATTAACATTTGATCCTTAAACTTAGAAGATTATTGTAGACTCAACTAATCCTAATCAATCTTTCTCTTTATCTATCTAGCCAGCCACTGTGTCCGAAAACGTCTTTATGTCATCCTCGGCGAGCATAATTTGAACGTTAAAGAAGGAAGTGAAATTGAATTTAAAATTCAAACATCCATAAAGCATCCAAAGTACAATAAGAAGACAGTCGACAGTGACATAGCCTTGCTCAAGTAAGTACAAAATCATCAATAAATTAACAAACAATAATAAAATCTTTAAATTATCATCGATAGACTACCGCAAAGCGTGGAAAGATCACATTTCATAGGCTTCGCATGCCTGCCTGAGAAGTCACAACAATTGCCAGTTGGGCAGTCTTGTAAAGTGATCGGGTATGTTTTCTAATAATAAAATCTTTTTAATTAAATTATGCATTAATATTGGACATAAATCAAATCGACAGGTGGGGAAAGCGAAAGCATTCAGATGAGTCGGGTACTGCATTACTTCATGAAGCTGAGGTTCCTATAATATCGAATGATGCATGTAGAAATGTCTATTATGATTATGTGATAACTAAGAACATGTTTTGTGCGGGAAGTCATCGACGAGACACTTGTTCTGGGTAAAATTATTTCTATGTTTAGGAAATTGTTCATAAATGACGTCTAGCACAGTCATTTAATGCATGTTGTCTCGAAAGGAGATTTCAAGACTGTCATCATTTATGGACGACCTGCAATTCCGATCAAGCAATAAATAATCGATGAAAAATTATCTCTAATTTACAGTGACTCTGGTGGACCGATTTTATGCCGGTAATTAACAATTCAGTCTCTTTTTTTATTAATAGAATAAATTTCCATGTGCAAGCGTTAATGCATGGAAATTTTTATTTCCTAATTTAAAGCTTCAACCTAATTAATCAATTAAACAACTTTTATTACAATCTTCACAGCGATCCAAAGAGAACAAACAAGCCATGGACGATTTACGGTAAAGCCTACATTAATATCTAGTAGAAATTTATCTCATTAATCTAAATTTCATTCTTTTTCTCTTTCATGTCATCTTCACAACGTCCACAGGTATCACAAGCTTTGGAGACGGTTGTGGGAAGAAAAATAAATTTGGAATCTACACAAAAATTACGAACTATGTCGACTTTATTTGGTCAATCGTTAATTGCAATGGACTATGTGAGAACAATAATACTTTTTAATGAGCAGCTTGTCTTGACTTGGTAGCGTACATGCTATCTAACTGACTCAACATGCTTTCTACTCAATCACATAACTTTTTTTTTTGCTTTTCTGTATAAAGAATTCTATATTTTTGTATTATTAAACTTTATTTATGAATGATGAATGACAAGAATATTAATTAAACTATATCTGAGAGTAATAAAAATTGTACATAATATTTTTATGAAATTATTATGATCGTGTATTTCATTTGTGGACATGTAAAATTTATGTCCATTCATTTCATGAATACTTAAGTGATTTTTAAACATTTATTGAACGCGTGGTCGACAATTAACGGTTAAAATAAATTTGTAAACTTAACGAAACATTTAGAGGATTACTGAACGATTTTTGTTCATTTAATTTCAGTTTATTTACATTTTAAATTGCACCAATTAAAGGTAAGAATCTTTAATTAACTTAAATTATAAAGCTCTTATTATATAACTTTACAGTGTAAAATGCCACTCAAGAACTCCTTTGATTTACCAAAATTCTTTACTCTATCACCACCACTTTCTTATTTTGAGGATGAAACTGTTTGGCTTAATTTAACTAATTCGGTGGAATTCAAGCCAATTTATTACAATGAAGCTTTTCCTGAAAAATACAGCATGGAGGATATAAAGAAAATCGCTACAGAAGCCTTCAAACAGACAATCAGAATACATGACCAAAAAGTTTTACTGGATGTTTTAGAAAAAGATCCAGACATGATACACAAAATTGGTATAAAGCCTTCAAACATCTCCAATATAATCGAATTTAATCCATCATTTGCTCATAATGTGCTAGCCATTTTATTGAAATCTACTGTGTCAACAGATTATTTAAGTGCTATTATAAAAACGGCACTAAACATGTCATTAAACTCACTAGAAGTAGTCAATAGACTTGCATCCTCAATGGAGCTTCCAACAGAATTTCTCCATCTATACATCTTAAATTGTATCGAAGCATGTGAAAAGATGACTGACGAAAGATTTCAGAAGCGGTCAGTAAGGATTCTCTGTGTCTTCCTGCAAAGTTTGGTCCGTAAGAAGAAAATCGATATTAACGATATTAGTATTGAAATTGAGTCGTTCTGCATTACATTCAGTAAAATTAAGGAAGCAACAGAATTATACAAGATATGTAAAACATTTTAATTAATAAAATACTTGAAATTACTTTAAACTTTATTTTCCAATTGATGACTTTGCATCCACGCATTAATAGCATCTAAATTGATAACATCCTTTACATAAAGGGAAAAATTGAATGAGAATCATTTTCACAAGGAAACGTAGCATAATATCCCAATGTGCATAAAATCAGAGTGTTCATTAGTTCCTTATCGAAGTTCTTTTGAGGATTCTTGTTAAAATTAATGTGATTCCAGCCACTCTTCAGTATGTCCCTTGCAGTTATAAAGTGCTTTCTAGTCATAAACAAGCACGGATATGAAGTAACTGACATGTTCAGCTTGAAGCTATTATTCACACATTCCTCACAATCACATTTGAAATTGTATTGCTTCATCATTTGATCTCTGTTCTGGTCATGTGTGAATGAGTATTTATCACTGTTAAGGGAAAGGATTAATAAATTAAAACATGACTAGTTTCATAGTACTTACTAATAGCAATCAAAGATCTGCTCTCCAGCTTTAATAGGTTTCATGACGACGATAGCAATCTTATCATTAATTCCGACCATTTGGATGTTTCTCAAGCAGGAATGATTGATGAGGGACTTGAATAGTGAAATTTTTGAGCCTGCTACAAATGGAACTGAAACTTCTCCGTCCAAATAATAAGTTCCTGAGCAGTTATTAGGTACAATACTCAAAATGTGATGTGCTGTCTTCTTTGAGACATGATTAAAAATAACATTGGATCTTTCATCGACAATATGATCAGATTTTGGCTGTAAGGACAGTAAACATGTCATTAGCTTTTTACGATACTCTGGATCTTGGGGATTGCTCAGATCATAATCAAAGATTGTTTTATTGAGCTGCTTCATGTCAGTCTTGCTTATTAAATCATCCAATTGTGCATATCCTTCGAATGGTGCTGCAATTTCAGACAATAGTTTCATATCATCATTTAAGGACAACAAGATATCTGGAAACTTTGAGTAGAAATTTTCCATGCATTCGTTTGAGCAGAACATCATTGAGGCTGTTAATGAGATTTTATTTAGGATATGACATAGTTGAAACTGAATTAAACTTACCAGTATGATTGCAAGGAATCAAATTCATCATGCATGATTTGGAACAGTTATTGCAGTGCTTGTAAAAATGATTTCCTTCCAAAAATGAAATCACTGGATCTTCAATGCATATAATATCACCAGCCTTTAAATCCTTTGTAGCGTAGATTCCACGTCCATATTTTTCAGTTGTTCGTACTTCCAATCGATCGACAATCCACGGGATCTTCTTATTTGCTGGATATGATAGTTTGAAGAACTCCCATGGATCTTCATTTTTGTTGTTCCTTCCTTTCAGCCTCAACTTCTTACATTTCTGTTCTCGTTCCTCAAGTTTCGACAGTTTGTCTTCCGGATATCCAATATTACGTGCCCATTCGATGTTCTTGAGACATTCATCATAACATTCTAGTTCCAAAAATGCAGCACTTCTATTCGCGTAACCCAATGATAAAGCATTTTTTGTACACGCATAAGCAATTGACTTATTATAAGCAATAAGTGCTGCCATATATTCTCTCTTGGTATATTTGGCATTTCCAACTTCTCTAAACTCATTTGCTTTCTTATCAGACTTAAAATCAACAAAAGCACGACGATTCTTCATTATTAACAGTTCTATTTAATTAAACTCTCTTCTTAAAACAATTTTTGCGACTTTAGGTTATAAAAAAAAAATTAAAGACTTACTATGGGACTTATTCAAAAGTGATGTTACAATTTTGGATAGAGACTGCACGGTAATTCCATGAGTGAAAAAAATTTTGGTGCACCAATTTTTCAAAAATATTTCCTTAACTAAGAACTTTGTACTCTAAATTGTAACTTTATTATGTTTATTAACACAATATTTATCTCCATATGTGAGAATTTCACATCAGAAATATGTCTAATTTTTGTTTTTTTAATAAAAGTAAAATTAATCGGTCAAGTTTTCGAAAAATCGTTTTCTAAACATTTCCTAATATTTACTTAAATACACACTTCTATGTTCCAAAGTTACTTTTAACATATTAGATATTAGCCAGGTTTTTGTTTTATGTATAATTTGCATTCCTTAATGCTGTAATTAAGAAGAAAAACCAAAAAAACTAGCATTAATCGGTCAATTTTTGACCGATTATTGCAAAACAGAACACTGAAAAAAATTTCAAATTCACAAAAACCGTTAGATTTTCTTGATTTTACTTAAAAGTATTAGATTTATTTGATTTAATTGAGCAAGTAACTAAAGTTTCAAAACATTAAAGATCATATATATTTGAACCATCTCTCTTTGCTGATATTGCGGCTTATTCACTTGTATAAACAACAAAACGTTGAGAAATTATAACGGTTTTGGAAAATTTGAATTTTTACAAGTAGAGAAATATTGTAAAGTGCTTTTTCACAGTTCTCATTACTCATGGAATTACCCTGCACTTAGAGAATTTAATATTAAAATTCAGAGTGAAAATCCGTTACATTTCAACAGGAAAATTTTGATTAGATTTTGACAAGGCTAGAACTTAAATCAGTTTAATTACAAGGCAGTCATTACAATACTTATAATGGATGTCATCATTTTACAAACCAATCACGAAATCTATAAAGCATATTATATCGTCAACTTTCAAATCTTGTGCAGTATGGACTCCTCAAAGGAAGTATTGTCATTGGGCTATGAAAACAGAAGTGCTACTTATATAGAGGTAGTGGAGGATCACATACTGGAGGATGTGATTGTAAAGAAATTTAAGAATACCTATTTTAAGAATAAGAGTAACAAGCAACGGTTAAATATTTTTCAAAAATTACGACTTTTTACTTCATAAACCTCAATAACCTGCGGGTTGTAATAGAAAAATTTATAAATTTATTTTTAAAAGCGTGTCTAACGAGTTTTAAGTCTAGGAACTAAAATACAATAAAACAATGCATCCACAATAAACCCTTTCCAATTATTTAAATTATAAAGAAAAACCGAGGAAAAGTTAAAATTAAGAAAAATAAGAGTAACGTATTTTTGAAAATTCGAATTTTCAACAACCTTACAAAAACCTACGAGCCCCTCAAAATTAAAAGAAATTTTTATAATTAACTAAAGCCCGGAATTAGAGTGATTAATTAGTGAAAAAGTCATCTATTTAATAAGATAAGTGCTTAATTTTCACGTTCATTATTTTGGTAAGTCATGAATAGTCTTAAGAACGTCAATAATAAGTTTTTCACAATAAAAAAAATTATAAAATTTAAAGATTATACAAAATGCGATCTGTTGTGTGTGATTCTGCAGCTGAAGATCTATTAGCTAGTTATGGAAAGACTAATAAGTTGGCAGTAGGGTTACTAATCGGTCAAATTGTTGAAAATGGAAAGGATTTTATTGTACATTTGGCTAAAACACCACATTCCGAACAAAATAAGATAGAAGAAACAACAGAAGAGTTGTCAAATATAGCCGATATAAAGAATAGTCTGGTCGCTGAACATGCCTTAAATGCAATACGAATGATTGTGGGTGGATTTAATATTTTGGGACTTTTTGTCGTTTCTGAAGCTAATATAATGAGTGATAATTCAGCACTCCAGAAGCTAAAGACTGTTTTAATGGATATAAAGAGGTAAAATTGTTGCGCATAAGCCGGTTTTGTCTATTTTTATGACTCATCTATTTACAGTACACTAGATTCTAATGGGATTCTCTATGCAAATACTGATGAACAAGACAATGGAGATAAGCTTGTTCTAAACTACATTACTAGCCATAAGAATTACATCTGTAAGACAATCTCGACAGATCCATCGAAAGCAACATCACCAAGTCCCGTTGATTTTAAATTTGTCTCGAAAGGAATCGACTGGTATGAGTTTGAGACAATTTATGAAATTGACACTGCATTTCCATTGTTACACTCAAATAATCATTTTGATACTGAAAAGTATATAATGGCAACTATTGATGATATTGCTGGAAATTTAGCAAAAAGCATCATGTTCTTTAATGGCGATCCACAATCAATAGACACGACTGTTGAGAAATTTATTAAAGACGGAAGTGGAGATTCATCAAAAGTCAAAGTTACTATTTATAGCGAAGCTGTAAGTTTAATTCGGTTGGATTTATTACTACGTTTTTCTTAACTTGCTTTCTTATCTGTTTGATTGATTGATTGATTGATTGTCCGCAAAATTTCGTACTTTTGTAATCGATTTTTCGACCACTTCTACTGCTCCAAACGAGCTTAAATTTTTAATGCACACGTATTCCCGGTGACAATACAATATTTTAACACTTTGGAAACACAAAAATGCTTAATTATAGTACAATTTATGTAAAACTTTTTTATATGGGAAAAAATCCAATGTCAATGATATAAAATTTTGATTTGTGTTAAATATTATACTTTTGATGCTCTAAAGTCATTTATATGATTCATTATAGTTTAATTAATATTACTAATTATTAATTATACCATAAATTTGAGCAGCTAAAGATATTCTGGTAAGACAAAAAAATTGACAAGTAATTTTTTCATGAATATTCGTAAGTGAATATTTGAATTTTCAAAAAAACCGTTAAGCACAGGTCCGTTACGAATTAATGCAAAATAACTATTAATATGCGATGTGCATTTAGCACACAAAGTTTGAGCATAAATTTATGCTGTTTTAAATGTATTGCATTATTTATAACACTTCACCAACTTAATTAAATTGACTTTTCTTTTTATTAACGGTTTGACGTATTTTTGCATAACATATAAATGATATTCATTGAATTTAAATTTGAAAATCCGTTATAAATACGTTACATATAGATGTGATTTGCATCTTTATGTTAAGAATCCACACGTTATGAAGTAGAAATGGTACAGATAAACACAAAATCTTTACGAGTGATTTTTAATGTACTTTACTAATGAATGCTTTAAAAAAATTAAATTTTATAAAATGAATGAAAAATTTTGAAAGTCGTTACTAATTTCCCATTGAAAACTGGTAATTTATAAACAGTTGAACGTAACGAAGTGCAACGAAGTGGAGTTCAACACACCTGTAACCTATGAACCTACTGTAATCTATAAACAGTTGAACGTAACGAAGTGAAACGAAGTGGAGTTCAACACACCTGTAACCTATGAACCTACTGTAATCTATAAACAGTTAAACGAAACGAAGTGCAACGAAGTGGAGTTTAACACACCTGTAACCTATGAACCTACTGTAATCTATAAACAGTTGAACGTAACGAAGTGCAACGAAGTGGAGTTTAACACACCTGTAACCTATGAACCTACTGTAATCTATAAACAGTTGAACGTAACGAAGTGCAACGAAGTGAAGTTCAACACACCTGTAACCTATGAACCTACTGTAATCTATAAACAGTTGAACGTAACGAAGTGCAACGAAGTGGAGTTCAACACACCTGTAACCTATAAACCTACTGTAATCTATAAACAGTTGAACGAAACGAAGTGCAACGAAGTGGAGTTAAACACACCTGTAACCTATGAACCTACTGTAATCTATAAACAGTTGAACGTAACGAAGTGAAACGAAGTGGAGTTCAACACACCTGTAACCTATGAACCTACTGTAATCTATAAACAGTTGAACGTAACGAAGTGAAACGAAGTGGAGTTCAACACACCTGTAACCTATGAACCTACTGTAATCTATAAACAGTTGAACGTAACGAAGTGCAACGAAGTGGAGTTCAACACACCTGTAACCTATGAACCTACTGTAATCTATAAACAGTTGAACGTAACGAAGTGAAACGAAGTGGAGTTCAACACACCTGTAACCTATGAACCTACTGTAATCTATAAACAGTTGAACGTAACGAAGTGCAACGAAGTGGAGTTCAACACACCTGTAATCTATGAACCTACTGTAATCTATAAACAGTTGAACGTAACGAAGTGCAACGAAGTGGAGTTCAACACACCTGTAACCTATGAACCTACTGTAATCTATAAACAGTTGAACGTAACGAAGTGCAACGAAGTGAAGTTCAACACACCTGTAACCTATGAACCTACTGTAATCTATAAACAGTTGAACGTAACGAAGTGCAACGAAGTGGAGTTCAACACACCTGTAACCTATAAACCTACTGTAATCTATAAACAGTTGAACGAAACGAAGTGCAACGAAGTGGAGTTAAACACACCTGTAACCTATGAACCTACTGTAATCTATAAACAGTTGAACGTAACGAAGTGAAACGAAGTGGAGTTCAACACACCTGTAACCTATGAACCTACTGTAATCTATAAACAGTTGAACGTAACGAAGTGAAACGAAGTGGAGTTCAACACACCTGTAACCTATGAACCTACTGTAATCTATAAACAGTTGAACGTAACGAAGTGGAGTTCAACACACCTGTAACCTATGAACCTACTGTAATCTATAAACAGTTGAACGTAACGAAGTGAAACGAAGTGGAGTTCAACACACCTGTAACCTATGAACCTACTGTAATCTATAAACAGTTGAACGTAACGAAGTGAAACGAAGTGGAGTTCAACACACCTGTAACCTATGAACCTACTGTAATCTATAAACAGTTGAACGTAACGAAGTGCAACGAAGTGGAGTTCAACACACCTGTAACCTATAAACCTCCTGTAATCTATAAACAGTTGAACGTAACGAAGTGCAACGAAGTGGAGTTCAACACACCTGTAACCTATAAACCTACTGTAATCTATAAACAGTTGAACGAAACGAAGTGCAACGAAGTGGAGTTCAACACACCTGTAACCTATAAACCTACTGTAATCTATAAACAGTTGAACGAAACGAAGTGCAACGAAGTGGAGTTCAACACACCTGTAACCTATAAACCTACTGTAATCTATAAACAGTTGAACGTAACGAAGTGCAACGAAGTGGAGTTCAACACACCTGTAACCTATAAACCTACTGTAATCTATAAACAGTTGAACGTAACGAAGTGCAACGAAGTGAAGTTCAACACACCTGTAACCTATAAACCTACTGTAATCTATAAACAGTTGAACGTAACGAAGTGAAACGAAGTGGAGTTCAACACACCTGTAACCTATGAACCTACTGTAATCTATAAACAGTTGAACGTAACGAAGTGAAACGAAGTGGAGTTCAACACACCTGTAACCTATGAACCTACTGTAATCTATAAACAGTTGAACGTAACGAAGTGAAACGAAGTGGAGTTCAACACACCTGTAACCTATGAACCTACTGTAATCTATAAACAGTTGAACGTAACGAAGTGAAACGAAGTGGAGTTCAACACACCTGTAACCTATGAACCTACTGTAATCTATAAACAGTTGAACGTAACGAAGTGCAACGAAGTGGAGTTCAACACACCTGTAACCTATAAACCTACTGTAATCTATAAACAGTTGAACGAAACGAAGTGCAACGAAGTGGAGTTCAACACACCTGTAACCTATAAACCTACTGTAATCTATAAACAGTTGAACGTAACGAAGTGCAACGAAGTGAAGTTCAACACACCTGTAACCTATAAACCTCCTGTAATCTATAAACAGTTGAACGTAACGAAGTGCAACGAAGTGGAGTTCAACACACCTGTAACCTATAAACCTACTGTAATCTATAAACAGTTGAACGAAACGAAGTGCAACGAAGTGGAGTTCAACACACCTGTAACCTATAAACCTACTGTAATCTATAAACAGTTGAACGTAACGAAGTGCAACGAAGTGAAGTTCAACACACCTGTAACCTATAAACCTCCTGTAATCTATAAACAGTTGAACGTAACGAAGTGAAACGAAGTGGAGTTCAACACACCTATAACCTATGAACCTACTGTAATCTATAAACAGTTGAACGTAACGAAGTGCAACGAAGTGGAGTTCAACACACCTGTAACCTATAAACCTACTGTAATCTATAAACAGTTGAACGAAACGAAGTGCAACGAAGTGGAGTTCAACACACCTGTAACCTATAAACCTACTGTAATCTATAAACAGTTGAACGTAACGAAGTGCAACGAAGTGAAGTTCAACACACCTGTAACCTATAAACCTCCTGTAATCTATAAACAGTTGAACGTAACGAAGTGCAACGAAGTGGAGTTCAACACACCTGTAACCTATAAACCTACTGTAATCTATAAACAGTTGAACGAAACGAAGTGCAACGAAGTGGAGTTCAACACACCTGTAACCTATAAACCTACTGTAATCTATAAACAGTTGAACGTAACGAAGTGCAACGAAGTGAAGTTCAACACACCTGTAACCTATAAACCTCCTGTAATCTATAAACAGTTGAACGTAACGAAGTGAAACGAAGTGGAGTTCAACACACCTGTAACCTATGAACCTACTGTAATCTATAAACAGTTGAACGTAACGAAGTGCAACGAAGTGGAGTTCAACACACCTGTAACCTATAAACCTACTGTAATCTATAAACAGTTGAACGAAACGAAGTGCAACGAAGTGGAGTTCAACACACCTGTAACCTATAAACCTACTGTAATCTATAAACAGTTGAACGTAACGAAGTGCAACGAAGTGAAGTTCAACACACCTGTAACCTATAAACCTCCTGTAATCTATAAACAGTTGAACGTAACGAAGTGCAACGAAGTGGAGTTCAACACACCTGTAACCTATAAACCTACTGTAATCTATAAACAGTTGAACGAAACGAAGTGCAACGAAGTGGAGTTCAACACACCTGTAACCTATAAACCTACTGTAATCTATAAACAGTTGAACGTAACGAAGTGCAACAAAGTGAAGTTCAACACACCTGTAACCTATAAACCTACTGTAATCTATAAACAGTTGAACGTAACGAAGTGCAACGAAGTGGAGTTCAACACACCTGTAACCTATAAACCTACTGTAATCTATAAACAGTTGAACGAAACGAAGTGCAACGAAGTGGAGTTCAACACACCTGTAACCTATAAACCTACTGTAATCTATAAACAGTTGAACGTAACGAAGTGAAACGAAGTGGAGTTCAACACACCTGTAACCTATGAACCTACTGTAATCTATAAACAGTTGAACGTAACGAAGTGCAACGAAGTGGAGTTCAACACACCTGTAACCTATAAACCTACTGTAATCTATAAACAGTTGAACGAAACGAAGTGCAACGAAGTGGAGTTCAACACACCTGTAACCTATAAACCTCCTGTAATCTATAAACAGTTGAACGTAACGAAGTGAAGTGAAGTGGAGTTCAACACACCTGTAACCTATGAGCCCTCTATAATCTTTATTTCTCTATTTCATTAGAATAAAACTAAAAAGTAGAAAATAAAATACTTTATAAAAAAAACTTTTTAAAAAAACTACGTTTTTCGCGTAGACTAAAAAGTAGAAAATAACTTTTATTCTTGGTTGTAAAGAATTTGGTTTTAAATTTTCAGATTATATTTAATAAATTTTTATATCCTAGTCAATATTGTTCACAAAGTTTCGAATAAGTGCACTTTGATCTTATCGTATAACTCAACAACTTAAAAACGTGGGCGCATTATAAGAGGAGAAATAAGTTTATGTGAAATCAATACTTTATGATAAACTTAAATTAATGCGCCCACGTTTTTAAGTTGTTGAGTTATACGATAAGATCAAAGTGCACTTATTCGAAACTTTGTGAACAATATTGACTAGGATATAAAAATTTATTAAATATAATCTGAAAATTTAAAACCAAATTCTTTACAACCAAGAATAAAAGTTATTTTCTACTTTTTAGTCTACGCGAAAAACGTAGTTTTTTTAAAAAGTTTTTTTTATAAAGTATTTTTTTTTAATCCTAGATTAGTCAATAAAATAAAATAACATAATTTATGCAAATAGTTTCAGGCACCACTAACTGCAAGCAAGAATGGAATTTTGACTCCACACGAATCATTAGTCTACTATACAGGAATTGTAGCATCGAGAATCTATGGCTCACCTAGATCGACAATAGCTGAAATAGAAAAGTTCATTCTAAACGACATAATTCGATCAATTACGACAAGACTTCAAATCTATTATGATGCTTTGCTTGCAAATGATGATGGTGGAAATGATAATGATGAAGATCAGGATGTTAATAGCACAATTCCACCGCGACGAGTCTTCTTTCATCCTGTAAATTCACCAATTTCGTTTTGTGACTATTTATTCCAAAATGAGAATGAAGAAACGACTGTTAAACAATCAATGGATATTCTAGGTGTTGATTTAGATTCATCTGATGTTGATATTAGTGCTGAAGCTGTTGCACAATTGAAAGTACTGGAAAAATGTGACTCGCCTGGAATTTGTGAAGAAACTGTCAACTTAACAACTAATGACTCTGGAAAATTGATTTTAATTTTGGGAATTATTGGATTAGTTATAGCTCTAATTGTTTCTGTTGCATTGCACTTCCTACTCAAATGAATTCCTACTTATGAAGTACTTTTTTGGCACGTCTTGTTATAAACAAGAACCATTGAATTTTTATGAAGATTGTTACTAAAAATGAAAAACTGAAATATTTTTCTATAGATTTTATGCATACTTATCAGCTTATTAAACTTCGTACTAAAATGAATAAAAATGAACGAAAAGCTTAATTATTTTATTTATTTTAACGACTTTTTAAAAATTTGAACAACACTTCCTTTTTTTTTCAATTAATTTTCCCCTAATTTCGAGCGTGTATTTTGTAAACAAAACTTCAATCATAAATTAATGCATCTTTTACTAAGAAATATAAGACCTTTCCTAGTAAGAAATTACCATCGAAAGTCAGTGGCTGCATTAGCAGCAGAAATAAACAGAGACAATGTCAATAGCAAGTATTCTGAGCAGCTTGAAAAATTTAAAGACAGAATTTTGTTTAATTCATTACTGGAAGTTCAAAAAATCAAAATAAGGAAGCTTGATGAGGTGACAAGTAGTTTAGTTAAGAGAAGATTAAAGCAAGAAGATGCATTAGGTGTTGTTCCATTGCCCGTAGTGCTTAATCAGTTGTGCGAGGAAAAACCGAAAGAACAAGATACAGAGGAACTGGATTTTAAAAAACAGAATAAACAAGTTGAATTTACTGTATCTTCACTGCCTTATTCGAGATTCTTAAAAGTTCAAAGCAGTGAATTGAAGGAATCACAAGAAAATGAGGATAAGAAAGTAGTTCCCAATAATTGGCTCAAAGATTACGAACTGTATGATGAGGCTGAAGATGAGTTACAGTCGGAATATGGAACTCCGGACCCTAATTTTCCAGTCACAAACGTTGCTTGTGGTGGATGTGGTGCATTACTTCATTGTAAAGAGTAAGTTTTGTCAATTCCTTTAAAATATACTTTAATTAATCCATTAATAAATACAGCCCATCGATTCCTGGATATCTCCCGAGTGAAATTCTCACAGACTTGAATAAAGAAGAACTGAAGACTGTTCATTGTCAGAGATGTCACTTTCTTAGCAAATATAATACAGCTATTAGTGTATCAATTAAGCCTGAAGATTACATTAATATAATTTCATCTATAAAGGATCAGTCAGCACTAGCAATTGTTATGGTCGACTTACTAGATTTTCCATGCTCAATATTTCCAAATCTATCAAACATACTTGGAAAGACTAGACCAATATTTCTAGTTGGTAATAAAGTTGACTTGATTCCTCGAGATTCCCAAAATTATTTGGACAATGTCAAGCAGAGCTTAAGATCGGAAGCCTTGAAAATGGGATTTGAAAACAAAAGTATTAAGCACACAGCATTAATATCTGCAAAAACTGGTTATGGTGTTGAGGAACTGATCACTAAACTCCATCAAATTTGGAAGTATAAAGGAAATGTCTACCTAATTGGTTGTACAAATGTCGGTAAATCTTCTCTATTCAATGCGTTTTTAAGATCAGATTATTGCAAATCAGAAGCAACGAACTTGATTCAACGAGCTACAGCATCTCCGTGGCCAGGAACGACATTAAAAATGCTTAAATTCCCGATTTTACGACCATCAGACTTTCGAGTGGCACTAAGAGCTCAAAGATTAGCAGGTGAAAGAAGTGCAAAATATCTGGAGGATGAATATCGAAGGCAAGAAGCAAAGGATAGAAAAAGTATAAAGCATGCGACTCTAATTGGACATATTGGAAGAACGTTTGAAAAAATTGAGGAACATTCAGATCCAGCAGCTCAATCACATACTGGTGGATATGCGGGAAAAATTCTCACATTAAATGAGAATGAAGAAAGATATATCCAAAGTAAATGGTGCTTTGACACGCCAGGAGTTATGCACAGTGATCAGGTATGAATGTTTTGGTTAATCCTGAGATTTAAAATTAAAGCCGTGGATTAAAAATTAATCTCAGCTAGAATCTGAAAATTTAAAATTTATTTCTTACATTTTATAGATCCTTCCACAGCTTACAACAGACGAAATCCTCAAAGTACTTCCAAGACACATGATTCGTGCTCGAATGTTCTTTATGAAACCAGGAATGTCACTTTTTATCGCTGGATTAGCAAGACTTGATTTTATAGACGTTCCCAAATTGACAAGAGCTATTGTCTACTCATCTCTTCATCTTCCAGTGACCATTTGCAATACAGAAGATGCTGATGATTTTTATGAGAAATTCCTAGGTTCCGAACTTCTCGGAGTTCCAATAACCATGAATGAAGAAAGATTATCAAGATGGCCTAAATTAGAGCCTTTATATGATGAGATTGCAATTGATGGAATCGATAAGCACGTTTCAGCATGTGATTTTGTTATGTCTTCTGCAGGTTGGATAGGAATTAATTTACCAAAAAATACAGTGGGCATTTTCAAGCCATGGATTATTGGAGGTAAAGGTGTGCATGTAAGAAAGCCGTCAATATTATTGAATGGATTCAACTTGAGAGGTCACAGAATACGAGATTCACCTGCTTACGGAATTGGTGATGCTTATACATTTAGAAAAGTTTTTAAAAAAGTAAATATGTAGAAATTAAGAACATAAAGTTTGAGTTTAGAAATAAATTAAATTTATTTATATTTTATGAAAAATAATGAACATGATTCGTATAAGAAAGAAATCAGTTCCAAACGTTGTTCATTTCAGGCTCCAAAAGCTACTTTTTTTTCTTTCCAGAAGTCGATGGTTTAGCCTTTCGTTCCAGTTGCATCTGTTTAAGTTTAGTTTCCAAGTTTTTCTTAGCTTTACTATGTTCAACTTGCTGTGCTACCTTTCTTGTGTCTATTTTTGGATGGAGAAATTCTTCTCGTTCCTTTTTCTTCACCAGTTCATCACATTTTGTAAACTTCCCATGGATCTCAGGCAGTGAATGTTTGTAGCAATATCTGTTCTTACAAAATTGACAGTCCTCGCCCATTAAATTTGTTTTCTGTTTGCAACCTTGGTAGTCACAGGTGTCGTCAGCTTTTTTGACATTTTTAAGCACTTCCGAAAGTTTTTCTTGATTCTGCTCGATTTCGTCACTTGATACTTTGTTAATGACATTTGTAACTGTTTTGTTTTCTAGATATGGAGGCAAAAGAAGTGATTATCCGATTAATTCGAAATAAATGTGCATCTTACCCATTTTATATTAATTAAAAAAATATTTCTCAATATCAGTATAAAGGAACAGATGTGATTACTGATTGTTTATGTTTATAATCATCAATGTTTTTAATGATTGTTTAATGTTTTCTATTTGAGCATGCTGCTTATAGGAACATTTGAAATTGATTCACAAGACTCACGATGCGAGCGTCTCAGAACAAATTTGACTAAGCCTATAGAAATGATTCAAAACATTAAAATAGCCTTCCTCGTTAGTCACTGATTTCTCATTACTGTTACGCATTACCCTGATATCTGACCCCCTCTCTGAAATGTTATGAATCGTTCAGAAATGCAATAAAATTTTTTTTTGCCAGTTCCAGCTAGTTGGATATACCTGGATATACCCTTGATCCAAATAACATCGGTATTCTTTGAATAATGGTTATTTTACAATTCAGAATGCAATCGAATTGAACAAGTTTTAAAGAGTTAAGATGCAGTCATGGATACAATATGCTAGAATTACAAATTATTTTTCATAAATTAGCTTTCATGTCATGAGCATCTTGAGTGCAAAATAAAGTCATGATCATCTCATTGGATTCAGTTCCTTGCAAAACAACTCAAAGTTTATTGAGTTTGAATCAAAATAGATTATTTTTTGATTGTAAGCTTACATTAAGTGACATTAAGGACCAATCTCTCTAAATCAAAATGAAGGATCATCAAAAATTCAAATTAATTTTTGTAAGCAAATTAAACTTTTTTTTTATTAATCCTTGTCTGAATATAATTTTAAATAGCTTTAAAATGTACAGTCAAGCTTAAAAGAAGTCACAAAATTTCGTCAATTTAAATAGGAACAAGACAAATACATAAACTATTGAGGATACAAGCATTTGCCTCTTTGGTAGTGTAAATCTTACAGTTCTGACTAGAGACATCCAAGTTCTTAATTGCTGATGTCTTAACCTTAACTTCAAAAGTTGTGCATATACGATAGAAAATGCCATTACTCATATATCGATGGACGAATGGTTTATCAATTTTATCCTTATTTGACGGCTGTGCTCTTAAAATTATGTATTTTCCATTAATTAAATCCTCAATATCACTCGATTCACTTTGGTTATCACGCATAAGTAGCGATTGTTCTATTTCTGCATTCGGTGCTGGCTGGCCATGATCTAAGACTGAGCGAATCTTATCGACTCTTGTTGCACAATATGCTGTCATCCAATTTTCATTTGAGCTTTCTTGCTGTTGAGGATTCGTTATTTGTTGATTTATTGTAAATTTCACCCAACCTGATTGAGATGAAAAAGGAATTAAAATTTAACGGATTTTTGATTCTAGTTGAAATTGTGAATTGGAACTAATACATACCTTTTAGCGGAGCATTAGGCTTGCAGCACTTCTCACAGTAACATAATGGAGATAAATTAGGAAGGAAATAAATGTCAGGCAGCATTAAAGTTCTTTTAAATCCAAGTAAAAGCTTCAAATATTCACAATCTTCATTCCTCGTTTCTTCACTTCCACTTTCGTTATTCTCATTGCTGTTATCAACACTCTGATTATTATTATTATTATTATTATTACTGCTACATCCAGCAATATTGTTAATGTTATGAAGATGCTGTTGTTGTGCTATACTTTCATTCCTTGTCGTATTATTAATGTGATCATTATTAATTCTATTCGATTGTAATCTTAAGTTTTCGATGGATGGGACGTCACGATTTTCTTCCATGTGATGATAAATATTCATTAAACTTGTAAATCTATGTGTGCTTTGTGAACGTTGAATGTTTAGGTTTGTCGAGTGCTGTAGTTGAAGAGAATCACGAAGACAACTGGAATAGTTTTAAAATAATTAATTACATTCAAAAATTTCAAAATTCAACGAAACTTTTAAAACACAGCTGATTTTATTAAACATGCTCACAAAAATAACTCACCATGAACTTGACAATTCCTGATTTCTAGCTTCATTTGCTGTTCTGTTCTTGATGCTCATATTAGTGAATTCATTCGCTGAGACGCTTTCCATTACTGATCGACTCATTGGATTTATTGATGTGCTAGGTGTTGGAGTTAAAATTTGATCTGTTTCTTTCTCATGAACTTCCAAATCAGCCTTCTCGCAATTTTGCTGTATACTATCAGATTCATGATTAACGATATTGTCATCGCTTATAGACGAAGGAATTCGTTGGTTGTCACCAGAAACTAATGTGATTTTCTGACACTTTCCATAAATATCAAATATTGGATATACGAAATTTGGAAGTCCAACAATAATGTCTTGGAATGATGTAGATCCAATTGTTAATGATAGTGCTCCTTGAATGTTTAATGCCAATGTAACAATTGTTCCCGTTTTAATTTGATCAAATGCATCTGTAAATTTTAATGTCTTGGTCTTAACGCCATTAATGTTGAAATGATCTTGTGACACAATCCAGCATGGCTTTTCCAAATTTATGGCAGTTGATGGAAATGTGAACTTATTATTAGGATTTAATCCAATTAATCCAATCGACAATGTTCCTTTCCATTTTGACTCTGCTGATTGAGTGACTTTAAAGCTTACACTTTGTCCACGTGATAATGGCTTAGACATGCAGATGATTCCGTTATTATATGATTGAAATCTTGTTGCGGACTTTTTATCATCACTTAATCGAACATTAGAGCCACAATTTTCGTGGAATTCATGCACAAAAAGATCAGCTTCGATTGATTCCAACATTGAGTCGTTCTTATTTAAATCTAATCCTAATTCGAGTGAATCCTGTAATCTTAGATTATAAGGTCGTAATGGAGATTGTGGAGTTTGAGTCGAAACAATTTGTACAGCCATAATTGCACCTTGAAGTTCCGCAACTACATGTACATTCTCAGGAATGTCATCAAAATAAATGTTAACATCTTCAGAATTTAATAAGATTTTTAAAGTCTTTGTTGCTGTTAATTCTAACGTTATTTTATCTCCAACACGTAGCCATTCAACAGATGCCATGGACTTTCTCAATAGCTGATTATTGTGTCGAACTTCATTTCCTGTCACGTACCAAACATTCGCACCCAATCTTTTAATAGTTGTTGGGATATTTTTTCGTATATGCTCATCTGATAAATTCAAATCAGTCACGCCAATTCGAATGTGACCAGCATAGAATGTATTCATTTCCTTTATGCGAATCTCAAATGGTTCACCGCCTGCGACAAGATTTCGCTCAGAAAATACCAAGCAACGTGATAGAGGTGAATTTGTGCATCGTACTGCAACTGTCCAATTTTGTAGTAATGCACAATTCCCTGAAATGACAGAAAATCGATGATGTTTTATGTCCGTTGTTGGCTGAATAATTGATGTAATTTGCAGACTTTGAGAATTCTCTGATGTTGCGTACGGTGCTACGACATTTGTTCCTGTACATAAAGTAACTTGTGAACACTGTCCATAAAGATCAATAACCGCATAAATGTTTTGAGCACGACATTCATGTGCACATCCTTGATCAATGCCATTAATAAAGAAATTAATGTTATTTCCATTCCTCATGACTCCTATTCGACATCCTGACTTGCAATTGTCTAGATCAAATGGTAAATCATTCCTTACAGTCACTCCATTTAGCCTGCAAGTGAATTAAAGTACAAAATTAATGTGAGTGTTCTTGTTTTTGAAAACATTGACTTACATTAGAGTAGTTCCAGAAGCCATAATAGTATTCAAAGATAAATCAGTTGCAGTGCTTGGAAGTGTCAAATCTTCTGGTCGAACTCCAGTCACACCGATTTCAATTGATCCATTCCAATGCTCCACGACATTTTCAATTATAACTTCGAATAGCTCTCTTTGCCTCAACGGACGGTTGCTAAATAAAATTGCATCATTGAATTCACTTAATGCCTTCGGTCTACTGGCAGTTAATCCATTATTTGATAATCGAGCATTTCTACCATGAATATGATGAAATCTCAGCTTTGGTTCTGTACTGAATAATGTCGTGTTGGATATTGTGGAATTTGCAGTTTCGTCTGGCGTTTGACATTCCGATGATACGTCAACAATGCTTGCTTGTGCTGAGGAGTTTAAATATGATTAATCATTGCTTTATAGATAAATAGTTTTGATTAATTACCAGCTTGACCATAAAGATCAATAACACCATAGACTTTGTCAGGAATTTTGTCTGCTGCTGGACCTAAAGAGACAGCAAAATGTAAGAAATAGGATTTAAAGGATGGAGCATCAAATTACCTTGATCAATATTGTTAACAAAGAAATGGAGCCTTCTTTCAATTCCATCATCCCTAACAACAACTCCTACACAATCACCAACTTGAAGCCTGTCTAAATTCTGTCCATATTGCTCAATTATCGTTGTACCATTTTGCATCACTCCGTTCCCAGTCATCATCCATGTGCCTGAAAAAAAAATACGTTTAAGAAATAACGGTTTTTAAAAATTCGAATTGAACTTAACGAAAATGAATTCTTGAACTACTGAACGAAATTTAAAGATCTAAATCCAGAAAATACGTTAAAAAATTACAATTTAATTTACCTGATCGAACATTAGTCATTGTAAACGGAAATTCAAGATCTAAGGGAGAATGTGTAGTAATTCCAATTTCAATGGATCCAGCCCATTTCTTCTCAATTCTTTCTAATCGTACTTGAAAGACTTCATTATTTTTTAAATGTCTTCTTGTCAGCACAACGCCGTTATTAAAGTCTTCTGCAGCATTTGGACGTAAGCAGGTCCTTAAACTGTGAGTAACTTGAGCATTTGTTCCACAAACTTGATGGAAACTAAGACGATCATTATTTCGATCTTCATAATCTGACTGAACTATTGATGACTCGATTGAAGGCATTGGATGTATATTAGTAGAATTGTTACGTCTGGTCTGCAAATTTTGCTGCTCAGCCTCATCTGGATCAACGATTGTGACTTTTATAGTCATTCCATAAAGATCAATAACACCCCATAATTGTGATGCAACCCGATTTGCAGCAATTCCTTGATCACGTCCATTAATAAAATAATGAAGATTTCCATTTGATCTTCTCATCATTCCTACTCGATCACCTTCTCTCAATTCATCTAAATTAAATTCACCATATTCTCTGCGTGTTCCTTTACCATTTGTTAAAATACCACAGCCACTCATCATTATAGTTCCGGATCTTAAATTTGTCATTGTTGCTGGAAATTGTAGAGCATTGGGACAGTGAGTAGTCACACCCACTTCAATTGAGCCAGACCACTTATCAACAAGCCGATCAATTCGAATTTCAAATAATTCATTGTCTCTTAGTGGTCGATGAGTCATCGCGATTCCATTATTAAACTCATCATATGGACGTCTACGTTCTGCACATCGAAAATTCCCAGTTAATTTAACAAGAGAACCACATCTTGAATGGAATCTTAACTTATCATTCGGATCAAAAAAGGGTGAATCGATTAATGATAATGTAGAATCTACATTTAATTCCACAGACAAAGGAATATCAATATTCTGTGAAACATGTGTTGACGGAGTCTCTTCTTCTACTGGGATATCTTCACTAATTATAGTAACTTGACCACATTTTCCATACAAATTGACTAATGCATAAACATTCCTAGGGATATCACGTGCTGCAATGCCTTGAGATTCACCGTTTATAAAAAATATAAGCTCGCTTTTGGAACTTCTCATCACACCGACTTTATCGCCTTCAGATAATTTGTCTAGATCATGTCCATAATACTCCATTAAGCTCTGTCCATCTTTCAGTACGGATATTCCACTCATAATCCAAGTTCCATTTTTAAGTTTACTAGCACAAGCTGGCAGTTCCGTAGATTCTGGATTAGATGTTGTTACCTAGAAATGAAATAGCAATTGTAGAAAAATCGATATTTTTTTATGCTGCATATTTTTATACTTACTCCAATTTCGATGCTTCCGCTCCATGAATGAATCCTTTTATCTATTCGGACCTCAAACTTTAAGTCATCGATTAGAGGAGTCTTTGAAAGAACAATTCCATGATTAAATTCATTAATATTTCGAATAGCTGTTTTTGACTCATTTTTCAGCTCAATCCTTTTTCCGTGATTTGGATGAAACATCGTGTCCTTGCCAAATTTCTAGTTTGTCGATAAAATCCTGAATTGGCTTTTGTTAATTGATGGATTGTGAGTATTTCTACGGTAGTTTTAACTCATTTGAAGCTATTATTAATGATTTTCACATTATTTATTAAACGATACGATAGGCTGAAAAAATTATATCTGTGGGTCTTGGCACTTTCATTTGTTTACGTCCAAAAAACACTTATTTGTTGTTGGGAATTGAAAGGTTTTCGATGAAAATTATTCTTTTGCAGATTTTCATCGATTTCCCAATTTTAGACATTAATCCAATATAAACGTTAATTAAATTACACTACTAGTCAGTTAAAATATCAAAATAGTGCTCAAATACAATCAATAGCTTAATATTTGATGACAAGACAATTTATTTCGATTGTTTACAAATCAATAGTTTAAAATTTAATTTTATCTATTTAATCAACTCAATAATGGGAAACTCAGCTGTTAAACAGCATTTTGAGACAGCACAGCGTACTGGTGTCTTGAAGATATCTCAAAAAAGATTAAAGGTAAGAAGAATGATTTCACAACTATTGAAATTTTCATAAATTTACAATTTAATTTAATTTTTCAAGGACTTTCCACCACAATTAAGAGAGTTTCCCAATGTCCTGCGTACTTTGGACTTGTCTGAAAATCATTATGTTACTATACCAGAATTAATAGGAAAATTTACGCTGTTAAAGCACTTAAATATTTCGTAAGTACTTTTACTGGATCTTTTATCATTTCTACTGGATCTCAATTTTTATTGTTATGCCTTACAGATCTAACAAGTTAGTTGCATTACCAGAGGCTATAGGAGGATGCACAAAATTAGAGACACTCAATGCGATGAACAATGTCATAACAGCTGTTCCACTGTGCTACGCAAATCTAAGAAATCTAAAAACAGTTAATTTAAGCAACAATCTTATAACAGAATTTCCAGTCATGTTTGGTGGACTAACTCATCTAGATATGCTAGATTTATCAAGGAACAAAATTACAACGATTCCTTCAGCAGCTAAAGATTTATACTGTACAGAATTGAATTTAAATCAGAATCAAATATCATCAATTGCTGAGGAACTAGCAGAATGCCAAAAGTTAAAGACACTTCGTTTAGAGGAGAACTGCTTACAAATAACGAGCATACCAACAAAGATACTCTCGAATTCCGTAATTTCCAACATCACCATTGATGGAAATTTATTCAACAATAAACAGTTCACGGAACTTGAAGGATATAAAATATACGAGGATCGATTCACAGCTGTAAAAAAGAAAATGTTTTAATCATCATAAATTACGTGCTTTGTTTTTGCATGAAAATGTCTATTGGATTTATTTTAATTTATCTATGTACTACACAATACATCCATGTAAATTCAAAATTTTTATATAAATTAATTAATTATATACACAAATGTATATCAATGTTATGAACGTGAAGATTTATGCTGAAAAATATATCTCAATAATTACACAATCACTTTAAATTTGGAACAATAGATAAAGTCTCTCTCTTATACAATTTATACTTGGCATGTCAAGTAAGGAAAACATGTTTTATGTATCGTAAAAAGTCATGCAAACTTCACTCGGAGCCGTCCATAAATTATGCCCAATATTTTTGGGAGGAATTGGGAGCTTTTAGGAAGGAACTTGTTTTTAGGATATCCAAATTTAACATCAGACATCATTTATAAACGTCTCCTTTTTCATACACGTAGAAATGCTAAACTGTCAGTAACCAACTATCATAATATTATTAAATAGCACTGTTAAGTAATATCCTAGAATGAACAATTGACACATGAGTCAACTAGGATATAAATGAGGCAAGCGATAAGATTGAAAAAAAGTAATTTAATTAATGTTGAGGTATATGTTCACTGCTCAAGCAGTGCCATTGCTCATGATATTGATCAGGAAGAAGTAGGCAATCTCTCCATTGCTTTAATCGTCTCCCCTTTGAGCATTGACCTAGTATGAGTGAACCGAGAAAATCATTACTCTTTCCAATGTCCTTATCCCAAACGGTAATGAAGAGTGTCTGCTTATCTAAATCATTCGGACGAGTTTCGAAGAAAAACTCTTCATTAAAGACTGGATTTAAGTTTCTCCACTTTATGCTCGTTTTATACTTTTTCCTATACGAGTCAGGTCTTAGTTGAAGCTTAACGAATGCATCAGAAAATCCATTTTTGTCCATAGCTAATAGATTGATACAGCGCTTAATTACAACACATAATGCTCTCTTTTGTGTATTATAGCACAATGCAATTAAGATTTGTCCATTTGATGTTTGCGTCGACAACGACTCCATGCTGAATTTGTCTTCGGGCCCCAAAGGTACTGTCATACGACACGTATTACAATTGACGATCTGTTTAGACACAAACAAAATGAAAAGAGAAATGATTAAGGCAGGCATTTTAATCTACATGTTTTTACCGATCCAAGTGGAATCTTTACAGCCCCGAGGAAATCATTTCCATATTTATCGTCATCAAGAATGACAACATACAGCGCTGAACCACCAATTTCCTCTGCACTCATTCCAATAAATGAAAATGTTTCATTAAATTCCGGATTATTGGTTTTGTGGGATATACGCGACTTATACCATCTCGTGTGCCTTAGATTATTTTCTGGCGTAATTATATTAACTTTACAAAATGGATCTGATAGTCCTTGAGCATCCATTGCTGGTAAGTCTCGAGCACGATGAATCACACAATAAACGCAATCTTGCGACTCGTCATAGGTTATTGACACTTCTAACCATCCTAAGCATAAGGGCTGTACGGTATCACGATAATTATCTGAAAGATCATAAATCAAGTGTGTAGGTTTTTATTTTATGCCTCAACGATAACTTTTTGATGTTTATTGATTGATTTATTGGATGGGGGAATTTGAAATGACGTGTGGCTGACTGCTAGGAAAATAAACATCCTGTCAACCCTTCATAACTCTATGAGAAAAAGCTCTTTATGTAAATATTTGTAAAAGAGTTAATGTTTTTTTGGTCAGCAACAGATGTTTATGCTTCTGGCTACATGCTGACTAACTTTAAAGTGCTTTAATTACTCAATGGTAGAAAAAGGGTCACTGTGCAGTTGAAAAGGGTGAAGTGATTAATTTTTTGACAATTTTTTTTAAGGTAGCAATTTCATTTGTGGATCTTTTTACCAAAGTTATAGTCAAGTTCCGCCCAAAGTCTTCTTAATCGCATTAAATTAATTTCGTGGAAGTGTTTAAAGACTCGATGATTTTGCAATTGAGAGAGTTATTTATGGAATTGATACTTTTCAAAAGTATAATCAGCTTTCATATTCGAGGTCAGGTTTTTATGGATCGAAATGTTTTCAACTACTTTTCTGTGATTCTTAAAAAAAATTCTAGGTGTGTCAAATTAGCAGCTGCAGTGTCGCGCGATGATGAAAGGATAATTTACTGTTCTGCGTCATAAAAAAGGTTGAGAAGCACTGGTTTAATAGCGAACGATAAAGATTTTATAACCTTTCTATGAATTAGGTCCCTAAATTGAAGAAATTGAACCCTTTAGACCTACAGTTTATAGTGGAATCTCAACCCCTTGAAAGCTCTGCACATTGTAAAGACACGAGTACGCCTTAAGACCTGATATACCCTGCAATGAACCTAGTCACAATTCGTGTGCGCAAGATATCGTAAGGAAGTCATCCAGATGCTAGTATATCCTTGTATACCTAGCAAAGGAGGCATATTCTATGCCAAAGACCTCAAAACTACACCCAACACACGAAACGACGGTGAAATGGAAAAAGACTTTCGAAAATTAGACATAGCCTGGGTTTGAACCCAAGATCTTTAGCACGGAAGGCCAACGCTCTTCCATTTAGGCCACTGATGCAATTTCACCGCTTTCCTTTAAACTTGAGTCAGCCATGATTTGTAACCACAACCTACTCAATTCTTATTCTTTAAAAGCTTCTCTAGATAACTTATATCAAGCACTCTAAGAAATAAGCATATATCATACTCACTTTGACACGTTGAAATACTTTCACCTCCATTTCCCATCACTGACTCAGCAATTGAATAACAAGACGATATCGAGTTCGTTCGTCGTTGAGACTCATTGGGACTAGCATTATCCCAATCGCTGACTAATTGAGGGGTTTGTAAACTATTTGCTGATTTTTGAGAATCACTTGAGCTCGTTTGTCGACTGTATGGAGTAACTGGTGATTTCTTTGGGAGTGTCGAATTACTTTCCGTCATTAGACGTGTCGATGAGTCTGTCGAGAGACGTAAATTGAATAAATTTCTATTACGCAGAAAGCTACTTGAAAATGATCCATTTTTGAATGTCTTTGGCTCTTCTTTTTGAATGCTATCTATTTCGTCTTCATCATCATCTGACTCTATTTCCATACCTAATTTTGTCGTCTTTGGTGGCTTCTTATTAAGTACGGTCTGATCTTGTTGTTGACTCTTGTCATTTTTATCGCCATTAGCTTTATCCTTTGTTGCATTCGAATGCACTGCAGAGATGTAATTTATTTATTTTTATAAAAGTTATTGTGAACAAAATTAGTAACAAACCAATTCCCGGAGGATATCCATAGAACCATGCTCCAGTTTTTTTCCAGATATCACGAATTTCTGAACAAATATGACATAGCCAGACATTTCTATGGAATAAAGAAAATATTAATCCTTTATAAAGTACAAAAATCTAAAGATGCCTCCGGCATTCAATTTAATTTCTGTGCTGTTGTAATAAAGTTGTCAGAAGTGCTGCAAACTTTGTGAAACCTGTGGCTAACTTCTTAAGGCTTCGATTGACTCATTCTCAATTGAATAATGAGGACTTTTTGGAATAGAAACAGCCAAAAATTACATAATGTCCAGGAGATCTTTTGAAAATTGTTCAAAGTCAGAAAAAGTTCGTGATTTAAGTATTTCACTAGAAATGCTCGTGACTCAAAAAGTTACGAGCTATAAATGACATAAGGTTCTGAGAAAATTAGGCTCGTGCCAAATTATGAATCAATATTTCTAATAGAATCTAGAGCAGAGGTACTTAAACTATGCTCCAAGACAGACCAGGATGTTTAACAGTTCATACTCTGATTTATCAGTTCCAGTTTTTAATTTAAATTTTTAAAATTCTAATAAAATGAAAAGCAATTAAAAAAATTACAGCTTCATTCCTAAAGTCAAGTCAATACAAAAAGTCCAGTTCCAAAAATACCACAACGCACCTCCACATGAATTAACCAAAAGCACAAAAATTAAAAATGCAATTTAAATTAATTGTCTTTGACATACTTTTTCGTTGGCGACGTGGTACATGGAATTTCGACGCAGCAATGTGAGCAGACAGGCTTTTTACAGTCTACACATATTTGCTTATGTGTCATGTTCAAAAACAGTCCGAATCCAAAAGACTGACCGCATAAGCTTTATTTGAGTACGATGATGATGAGGATAATATGTTTATTTACAAGTTCAAGTCCAATGCACGTGAAATGATATGAAGGGATGTTAAAGAAATAAAGATTCAGTATGTTAGTTAAATCGAGCATGAAATAAAAAGTTGTGTGAATGACAGTTTGTATTTTACCTACCAACAATTTTTCGGTCCATAATATGAACTTCGTTGCTTGATCCTTTCCACTCGTTCTACCTAAAGGTATACATGTATAAAAAAATGAACATATTTAGATACATCAAGTGACGATGATGGGATGAATATGATATGATGCTATATTGTGTGACAACACAATTCGTGTATAAATGTCCGATAACATAATAGCTCAAAGGAAATAGAAAAAAAGGAGAGAAAATGGAAATAGAATATGATATACATGTTGCTGACAGTGAGATAAGTGAGAGAAAGGATTTATCATGTCTTCATCATTCATAGATACATAGTTTGAAAAGGAAATAAAAAAGGAAATGAAAAAGGATTTAAAAAAGTTCTTACAAGTCTATTAATTCTCTCTCGTTCAATCATTTCCAATTGCTCATTTCGTTGAATCACTGTAAGAATCGTCTGTTGCTCATCTGAGTTTAATGCTACACGAGGAATATTTGAGCTCCATCCAGTTTGTAATCTGAGGAATATAATTTAAAATATAAAGTAAAGGAAATTTAATTTCTTTAAAAGCTTTTTGTGTGGATATCGAGTTGAATTGACATTTACTTAATGTGACATGAATACTTCTGTATGGCTTGCGTGTGAGGCGAAAATTAACACGTTTATACCATAAGTGATCTAAATTGCTGTATATTCAATACAGAGGTCAAAAACTTTGGGTCGATTAGAAAATATATGATGCTTAATTGAGGGGTTCTCGAATAAAATCATTACCCATTTAAATTCAGGAACCTAATTAAAGAATCATGTATTATTATTTTTCTCAGACCTCTGATGTCATCTTGTGCATTTAAGATTTAAATAATATTATATGTCATCATAGTTGCATGCCCTGTTTCATACAAATATTCATTGTTTCACTAGAGATCAGACATTAAACATTATATTGTATTATGTAAGACAAACAGCATTTTATTAATCCGCAAAGAACTTATTAAGTTCCCAAAGATACAATAGCATCTAATTCATTTTTTAAAAAAAGGTTTTAATCACCCAAATCGATTCTTTGTCAAAAGTCTGGAACTGATCAATAATTATTCATTATTTTGATAAGTTCCGCACCTTTGATCTCTGTCAGATTAAAATTTGCCAGCTAAGAAACAAGCAGAAACTCACTGAACATCAGAAAAAGGTTTTCTTGAAATGAGAACTTTGAAATATTATTATTGTTTATGTTCTTTATAACATTTTAAAAATAAAAATGAACAATTTTTTTACGAGATGTTTAAGACAAGAATCACATTTATGGAAGGAAAAAATGTTACACTTTCTACGCTCTGTTTATTTTACAATATCCTAAAGCCTTATAAACATATGGAAACTTCCATTAAATTTTTAATGAGCAATTTATATGAAAATAATTTAATGAAGATGTTATTCAGCTTTTAATCATAATCTCTTATCATAATTCAAGGATGTATGTTATTAAGTTTGCTCTCATATCCTTTTTTTAGAACGTACATCTTTATTCTTTTCCTATAATCATTACATAGCTTCTCTGTACTTTATTTACTTAATTTTTATGTTAACAGAAAAATGCCTCAAAGCTCTACACAGTTCTCTCTCGTACTCGATGATGCTGTGTTTCAAAATATTATCTTTACCCTTTCAAGCTCGCATTTTCCTCTTTGTCTATCTTATTCCTTCAATAATTTGTATCTCATTAAGTGTAAACATAGACCGATTTGTTTCCTTTAGCGAAAGAGTTATCCTTCAATTATTCAAATGAAATTCATGGCCATAACTTGTTTGAGTTAAACAAGTCAATTGTAGACATAAATCAATAAGTGATTGAAATGTTGATGGGATTTTAATTGAATGCTCAGAATTTATTAAGGTATTTTGAAATTTTTGAGATTCCAATAGAAACGTTTATTGTCATATGGGAAATTTTAGATTGTCTGTTGCTGGCTAAAGATATTAGTTTGACGAATTTGTAATAATTGATGTTAACACAAAGATATTTCCTCGATTTTAATAAATAGACATAGCAAATATTGATTTATAATCCATATTGATGTATGTAAATAAATATCGGGATTTCTAGAAAAATTTATATTCAGCCAATAAAAATAAAACTGGTGTTTCCTTGAAAGCTAGTGCTATATGAACTATAGTATCAATTGCATCAATTCTGAGCCTAAAAACTCGAGTTTAAATCGAGTCGTCCATCAAAAACTTAATTTTTAGACCCCCACTGTCACAGATGTCAATACCCCCCCCCCCCCCCCCCCCCCCCTCCTGAGACGTCCAATCCAAGACACAACAAAATTATAATTTCCTGATTAAAAAAATTGGATGTCACACCCAACTTCTACATAATGTTTCCGTTCATTGCTCAAAAAATCAGTCCATAAAATAAAGGATAAACATGATTTTTTTACCAGAAGTTTGTAAAAGTTTATCAAAAAATATTGTGCATGATCAAATTTTGTATGAAAATTGATGTAAACTTTGATCGCAAATATCTCGAAAACGGCATGTCCCCAGTTATATGGGAGATAGATTTAAGCTTAATTAATTGATTAATATAGGTTTCAGAGAGGTCTTTGGAAGACTTTTTAACTTATGAATAGTTTAAGTTTTGTAAAAATACTCAGATTTCAATTGCATTTTTAAGACTAAATAAGCAGTTTTCTTTTGATTTTGTAGTTTTAATATGCAAATCTAAGGTTAACTTAGCTAACAACAGCTAGCAAGATAAGGAAATAACAACTTAAAGTAGAGAAAATCAAAGATTTTTTTTCAAATACAAATTGTAAACAAATTTTTGGTAAGAATAAATTAAAGGTTTCTGGAGTTAGACATCAAATTGAAACGAGATATTTTCACTGAATATGCCTTAAGTTAAGATCTTTAATCTGGCATTTAAAAGATGAAGTTTCATTAATATGTTATTTTTGAATTTTTGAACATTTTTTCCGAATCTGAATCATTGTGCTTTAAACTAATTTAAGCTCATTTAACTATGTCGAGAGATTTATGAGAAAATTATCTGATTTCAACAAATCCATAAAACTATTCAAACAATAGAAGCCACAGCAAAAATCATATTGTAAACTTGACACATAAGCCAGTTTATTAATTTATTATATAAATTATCCTTAAAAGTTGTAATATTAATTACATATTGCCTCATGCTGGTATAACACATAACCATGGTTTTCATAATTAAATAAACCACTTAATTAAAACTGCAATAAAACATTCGACGCTCAAACATCCGCATAGAAAGCTTTATATGCTTTGGTTTTGACATACATATTTGTTTATATCCTAGCTTGATGCTGATATTAAATTGACATTAATATCAAATTTCAAGCCACTCATGTATTTGTTTGTATTATCCTCATGTATGTATCTATTTCGCTACACACTTAAATTTTGGAATGTAATTTTAACTGCAATGATAACAGTAGCTACCACGTGTCTCTAAGCTTGTCACTCATGTCGTTTGAAATTTAAGGTAGGCCAGGCAGATCTCTCAATAAATAAAGGAAGCAGGAGTAGAGTAGTAGACATCATTAGAAGACGACCCCGAAAAGAATAAATAAGAACTTGAGGATGATTTGTCTTAACGTGAGCATGAAGAAGTTAGAGGTGTTCTATTAATTCGTTGTATTAGCAACTGGAATAAGTCTAGACTGCTTCTAATAAAATGTTATTCTTATTATAAATGATTTGAGAATTCCATCGTCGGTTCCTTAAGCGATTTACTTGGAAAAAACAAGCTGATGTTAATCAAATTTGAAACCTTTGTTCTTGATATGATTCATATTGTGTCGAATTGTTCAAAACAAAGCGAAATCTGCTGATTCATATTTAATGATTTTAATGGAACTTGGGTAATAGACTTCTGAAAAGAGATCAGCTCAATTTTCCATTTAAAGCTGTCTAATCCTTTTTCAATTCGAATAAAACCATGAAAATACCTTTTTCTGCTCAACTGTAAAGTCTATTTATGAATTGTGTTTTGAAGCTTTTACTGCTGTTTAATCTCCGTCTCAATTATTTAACGATTTTTTAAAATTCAATTTTTTTTTAAATTTGTTTTTTATTTTTCTTTTTATTCTAAGTTTATTTATAGTCTTATCATTAAAGTGTTTATTAAGAGGAAATAATGGAATTTTTTGAGATTGAAAATTTAAATTCGATCCGTAAAATCACAATTAATAATCCAAGGAAGAAAAATGCTATGGATCGTAAAGCATATCTTGCTTTAGCAACATTATTGAATAAAGCAGCTACAGACGAGACTGTCAAGTGTGTTGTTTTAACAGGAAAAGGAGATTTCTATAGGTATTAAGTTTAATCTTTCTAAAGATTTTGTCTTAATCTCCATTTTAACCTTTAGCTCAGGAAATGACTTGACACAAGATTTTGGGGATTTTTCAAATGACTCTGGAACTTCTGGAAATGATCCTCTCCATCTTTTAATTGAATCATTTATTAAATTCCCAAAGCTCCTTGTTTGTCTGGTAAATGGTCCATGTATCGGCATTGCAGCAACATCAGCAGCTCTTGCCGATATCATCTACTGTTCAGAGAATGCTTACTTTTACACACCATTTACTGCTTTAGGTAAAATGTGATCAAATGTGACAATTTTCAGAGTTTAATTGTGCATTCAACAGGTCTTTGTGCTGAGGGATGTTCTTCCTACTTGTTTCCATCCATCATGGGATCTAGCAAAGCAAGTGAATTATTGATGCTAAACCACAAATTATCTGCACGAGAAGCATACGAATTTCAACTTGTTGCTCATGTCTATAAAAATGAATCGGAAGTTTGGGCAAAGTTGAAGCAAATCGATAAACTTCCAATTGGATCTATTATTTCCAATAAGAAGCTAATAAGACGACCGATGATAGAAAAATTAATTAAGGTTAATGATGAAGAGCTAAAGGAGCTTCAGACGAGATTTGAAAGTGAAGAGGCAATTCAAGCAATTTTAAATTTTCAATCTGCGAAAAAGAGCAAGTTGTAGTGATATTAAATTTGGGTGAAGATTGTGCTTTTTTGTTGCTATGAGGTCCATGAATTTAATTTTTTTTTTTTGTGATATAAGGTTTATGCATTTATAGGAATTTTGCAAGAATAAAATAAATTGGATAAGGATCACGCGTTAAATTTGAAGATTTTTTTTGGGGACTGTTCACAAATTATGTTTAATTTTACAAAAAGGATTTCAGCAGTAATAGGTGAATAGCCCCTTATAAATCAATCAAACTCCACAAAAATGAATATGACGTAATTTATTATGCAAATGTCTGTTATGATAGAAAATGTTCATTCCATATTTTAATAAGGGCAAGATCAGAAAAAAAGGGAATAAATATTCAAATTCAGATTTCTCTGCTTTTAATAACTTAATTAATATGATTCCTTCACTACATGATAGCTAATAATAGTAAGTTTCTTTTTAACATTCATTTTTCAAAATGGCGACTTATTAAGTTAGTTTAATTAACAAATTAATATTTGAAATCGATTTTTCTTTGAAAAGAAAGCAAGATAAATGATTGGAAGCTTGACAAAAGTTGTAGAGCTTGCTTTTTTCTATCATGTGATCAAAATAGATTTTATTAAAAATGAGTTATTTTAGTTAAATTAACTGAAAACCAAATTGAATGTAAAATGTATTTTTAAATCAAAACTATTAACCTTAATCGGTCAAGAACAATTACTTGATATCTAAAGAGTCTTTTGCTATTTAATTTACATTCAAAAAAGGCTTAAAAGTAAGTTAAATTAACTATAAAAACAATGAAATTTAAGTTGAGCAACAAATTTTGCTCTTATTTGCTCACAAATTTATAATTTTAAAAACCGTTACAAAATTTTTGGTCAAATTTTTTACTATAATTTAATTTTCTCTGCTTGTCTTGAACAAAAAGTAATATTTCTTTTGCAATATGATAAACATTGTTGAATTCTATAGTTTGAAATGAAAAAATCAGTAGACGAATAACACAGCAATGACTTATGACTAGTTTTGTAAAACTCATCATAACTTGGTTAATTATAGTAGAATTGAAAATTTTCTCTCACAAACTTAAAGAAAATTACATATGTAACCTTTTTTGTAAAGAAAGATAGTTCCTAAACTATTTCCTTCATATCAACATTTCAGCTTCAACATTTTAAAGCTGAATTAAGCTAACTTACAAATCCGCCATTTTATATATTTTAGACAAAACTTTTAATGATCTGATTACTTAATTATCTGGTGAAAAAATCGTTATGATCAATGAAGTATTCGCAGAGATATTACATTTGCAACATGGTGTAAAATCGAATTTCCTCAAAATTGTTCGTGACGATTAGCACTTTAAATTAATTTTTAATTATAATACAATGTCTGTGGGAGAGAGCGGATAGCTAACGCTCTTCTCTCATTCTCTCAACGGTATTATGCATGCATGCATAATGCCATTGAGCAAATAGTCTTTAAGATACGATTAAGGAATAAAGACACAATAAAGTATAGACCGTAAAGAGATACTTGTTATACACCAAAATATAGGTCTTGGCAAGGACTTTAAGAAAAACACAAGTCTTAAATACATATTTCGCATTATTGATTCAAAAATTGTAAATTATTGTTAAGCGTCACGAACAATTCATTTTTGATCTTGCCCATAAAGTTTCATTTTTATATCCTTCGGTTACTGTTTGAGCAAAATAAGATTTAATTCATTTAATTTAATGTAATTGAAGTTTGTGTCACATCCACTTACTCATCTTATCTGCATCATCATGGTTTTGTCATGGCTCGGTCATAAACCTTTGTACTTTAAATAAATAACTTCATGTAGATAGACAAGCACAGTCAGTATTTGCAGTTTCTAAAGCAAAGCAAGTTTGTAGCAACTAATTGGTATCGTGGGGTCATATACAAGGAATGTCAACTAATTTGTAACTGTGGTTTGCTCTAGAAAATTACAACTTATTCTCTTTGAGCATATCGTCCGGAAAAGTAATTTTTTTTTCAAAACTTTCACTTCCATTTTATGGATTTCAACCTCTCTGTGATATGGAAACTTTTTCTTTGGAAATGTATGTTTGATTAAAGCTATAGAAAGTCTTTCAAAAGGCAGTCAACGAAGAAGACTTTTTCAACTTTCAAACAGTTTGAATCTTCAAACGTTTTGACTGTAAAATAAAGCACGATGAAATTATTCGCCATTAATTCAATTAATCTCATGGAAACAATAAAAACAATTTGATCAAAGTTCAAAGATACAATTTAGTGAAGCGTAGCCGTCCCATTATGCTTAATTAGCTATTTAAGAACTTGCTGCTAATTATCCTCTGCTACTGGTTGTATGAGTGTTAAATTTCTTTGAACTAATTATTTCCATTACATGCCTTTTCAAGTAATTCGTTATGAAAATAGAAGGTCAGGATTAATGAAATGTGTTAGGTTGTATTCTGAGATCTACTTGTGTGTTTGTGCTGTGTAATTAGGATGATTTAGCAATTCGAGAGCATGAGAATGTATTTTACTGAATACAGCACCAAACAGAATCTCGAATATCTAATAATGAGATGCTACCGGCTGACACATCATAGGAAAGGATATGAATTGATTGCTATGTGCCGTGCTCTCGCTAAGGTCGTGCTCTTGCTGCGGTTCAAAACGTTTAAGGGGGGGGGGGGGGCAATACCATAGTTAAAAAGCTACATTAAAGTAACCATATATGAACATAGCTAGAGGCATTTGGTAACCACATAAATGTCACTAAAATGATGTACCATCTCGGGACAGCATCAAGTTGATTGATTGTAGATTAAGTAAAAGGGATTAATTTATGAGTTGACTTTGTCTCCACTCGTGTTCGAATTAACTTTTCAAGATCTTTAAATCATTTAAATTTTCAGATATTGAGTAGATACAAAATGTGTATCAAGATTGGCTCAGACATTATTGGAAGTGAAATCGTAGAAAACAACTGTAAATTTGAATAATATTTCTCACACAATAATGAAATGGAAGATATGAAAGCACTTTAAAGCTTGTATCATAGGAACAAGAGATAAAAATAAAGAGAGTTTCTTGGAGAATATGAAAAAGCACAAAAAGGGCATTTCTGTGGCTTCTGTACTTTATGTGAGCTACCATTGATAAAGCTGCCGTCAAAAGATGAAAGAAATGATTTTAATATTAAAAAGGAAACAGATTAAAATTGTCAATCAAAATGATGGAGTTGAATCCTTCTAGATTTTCATTTATGTTAAGGCAGAATATTGAATTAAATGAATGAATGAGCAAATTACATGCTTTGATGAATATTCATCAAAAATTCTATTTGTGTTATGAAAAGAACGTATGAACGTGTGGCAAACCTTTAAAAAGCCTTACTTCTATTTGTAATATTAAAGTTTTTCACCTTTTTTAAGGCATGCTGTAAGATAAGTTTTGCCAGAAAATTCTTTGAGTAAGGATTAATTTGGTTTTATTTAATCTTTTTCTAAGATTTAACTTAGTACTTAGAACTTATTAAGTTGGCTAGATTGTTAATCAACCGATTCTCATGACTAGGTTTGATTCCATGAAATGTCTAGTCTGTGATTTAACAAATTCACGATTCATGAAACTGTATGGAAATACCAAGGGTCACAGAAATGTTCTGAATCGAAAATAATGTCAAAACAAAAACTCATCAGCAGGAAGTGCCTTTTATAGTGCAAAAACATTCCAACAAACACTCATTATCTGATTTACTCATTGTCGAAGTTTATTATCAAAGTAGATATTCGTAGATATACTTTTAATTACTAAAGTGTTCGGAATCTTGTTACTCGATTGAAACATTGTTGCAGTCAACCTTCATATTTTTAATGCTTAGTGTAAAATGAATAGTAATTGCTATGGAGAAAAATAACTCAAGGACAGTAACTGATCGAGTTCAAAGTCTTAAAACATTTATTCAAAATTAAGAAAGATCACGTACATTTCAACAATAACTCTTTAAAATATGATCCAAATATGGCAAAATGTTTTGTTTTTATCACTGGCTTCATACTTTTGTCATGAATATTTTGTTTAGGTTTTGTATCTCAAATCCTCTTCTTGTCTTTTTGATCTCCACGTTTTGTTGTAAATAATCCCAAAATTGTATTGGTTTTTCCGGTAATCCATTCTCCAACATGAACGTTGAATCAGTGAGCTTAATATTATCCGAATCTTTTTTATCCAAATACACAACTCGTTTTATTTCATTTTGGAGAATAGTTTTAGCACATTCACTGCAAGGGTATAAAGTAACGAATAAAGTGGCACCTTTAACGGAAGCTGTTCTGAAGTCTATTGCATTTCTCTCAGCATGACAAACAAACTTATGCTTGCCTTTCTTATCCCATGAATATTGATCATCATTGTTTGCTCCAGAAGGATGACCATTATATCCGTAGCCGAGTATGTGATTATTATCATCGACAATGCATGCACCAACTTGAGTATGCGGGTCTTTACTTCTTTGAGCTACCACCATAGCTATTGCCATTGGCAACTCTTGTTTAAGCAAATAATTTTCTCTTTTTTGTATTTTTTCATCACATTGTGCTGGCTGGAGAAAATCTTTAAACAATTTAAAACTTTCAAATATAAAAAACATTTTTTTCCTCAATTTTTAAATTTAAATCTTAATAATTTTGATTTAAGTTGAATTGAACTCAAGTGCAATACTGAAAAGAAATGGAAATGCAGTTGCGGTTTTGTACAGAAAATATTTTTTAAAGGTGTATTAAATCTAACTTACAACTTGAGTTACAAAGCTATACATGTATAAAAACTTAAATTACGACTTGAAATTATTAATCGATAGCAGCAAACGGAAATCGATAGCAGTGCATTTTTTTATCAGTATTATTCTTTTTTGTTAATCTTAGTTCATTTGTATCAACGTCACAATTTTATTTATAGCATTCAGTTCTGATGACCAAAAGCTTAAAATGAGATCTGATTCACTTCTTATACGACCTCTACTTCTATGATCTTCATTTCTAATTCAGACGATGCAAAAATATTTTGCAAGTCAAAAACTTTCTTTGTTAAGTTTTTAACATCGATGAGCTGGTATGCAGTAATTAGGAACCAAAGCATGCATGTACAAATGAAGGTATGTTTCTAAATTAGTGTTGTGCAAACTTTTTAAGCCAGAGTAGAAAAATTTCTAAAAAAATTCTAAGGCACACAGTTTGGACAGCAATGATCTAATTTCTGATGAATAAAAGCATGATTTTGTAACTTTAATTCTTGAATCAAATACTGAGAAATTAAACTGAAATGTCATCTGATTTTCCTTTGAATTTTGACTATCATTTAGTTTTATTCTGTAAATATAAAGTTTGATCGACACTAGTCATATAGATCTCCAGAAAATTACAAAGTATTAATCGTTTTTAATGACAACAAATTAAAGCACTTAAAGATTTGTATAATAACTTCAATACATTTATAAATGGATCCAAAAGCTTTTCCACATTCCGAATCTTTTCTGCAAAGCTTTTAAGACGCAATAAACATTCATATTTCCAAGAGATTCGAATAAATACTTTTTCATTTCAATTGAATCCTCTTAAAATCTTATTTTCATTTCCTTCTAATTTTGCTGTTGAGCACTTAGACTAAGAGCTGCCAGGTATGAGTTAAACCTTGATGGAAATAGAAAAAGAAACATGCTAAAGTGATCCTAGGTTAAAAATAAATAGTTCCTGAGGCAATAGAAAGTCATAACATCATTTTCATGAAGAAGTTCTCGCAATTCTCTATTCACGGTTTCCATGGGCACATGAACAATACATGTCCATTTTATCAAGTCATTCTATTCATTTTATGATGTATGATAATAATAATAATCAAGTAACAAACTTCTGATTCGTCATGTAAATTTAATGAATATAAATTGACGTCCTTGGCATAAAAACAGAAACTCCAATCGTCATTGACCTTTTCAAGGTAAAATGTCATGTAAATTGTTTGATTTTATCACAAATTTTTCATCAAATTCTTCCAAAAAAGTCTAGGAAATTTTTACACATTTTCATCTAAAATTATATTTTTGTCCATTAATATCCTTCGGCTACATGTAAAAAGATTCCTAAAGAATTTCTTGTGGAACAAAAATTTATCTACCTACTTACTTACATTCAAGATATTCAGAGATTTATTAAAATAACAACAATTGTTTTACTGGTTATGGTAGCAATTCATCTATAAATAAGTCGAGGTTAAATCCAAATAACCTCCCTAAAGGAAACATGCATGAAAAATGTAAATCTTCTTTCGTGATGTTATTTTTTTGAAATGCTGAAATATTCAGGATTGATTTTAGAAATTATCATGGAAAAAATATAGAGGAGGAGAATCGGGGGACATAGTTTGAATTTTTTTAAGAGCTGCTCAAACATTTTATTAAGTGATATGTATCCGAAATCACATCAAGCATTCTGAATGGTCTGAAAATAAGTAAGTTTTGTATTAAAAGTACTCAAGCTCATTTTAATAGGTCATCAACATCTCTTGTGAGCAACAGGGGAAGCAGCTATATTTAGAAGATTGTTAACCTTGGATTGTTGCCTTGTTTCCAATGAGATATATTCATTCATGTCAGAGACAATGATTACATTAGATGAGGTGTCGTAACATGCTCATTACTATGGAACATTACCATCACATTCTCTGTCTACATGAAAATTACGTCAAGAAAACAATCAGACTGGCAAGCAAGGGTGAAACCAATGATCATTTTTTGATAATATTGATCAGTTTAGCAGCCTCAGATTTCATTCATTGGATGCAATTATAACAAAACTCACAAAAAATGCGTTTAGTGCTTAATTGGATCAAAAAAAAATCATGACAATAACATTCTAAATACCAAGAAGTACAGTAAAAATCACATACCGAGGCAGAGATTTAAAAATAAACAGACTGAAGGGAATGCAAATAAAGCAGTAAGAAGAATAAAATTGAAAAGTGTCACGTAATGAGCAAAAATCAATTTTCATGTAAAATTCCATCCTTTAAATCATAAAATGGTGTCATTCAACTTTTTTTTAAAATGATTAAAACTTCATCGTTGGCTGTGTCAGCTCCAAACTTGTTTACCTTTTTCCCCTCATTCCAATTTATTTTCACCCTTGAACGTTTTAAATGTGAATTCGAATAGATTGAGTGCCATAGCGATTGTAAGGATTTCTTGAGCCTCCCTAAGCCTTTGTTTGTCATATTTCCATTTCAATCAGATTAAAGTTATTCTTTAAGGAATTGAATCTTTGTAATTTGACTGAATAGATATTCTTCCTCGTGATTTGAGTGATGTTCTTTATCATAATAGGTAATTGAACCTCTCGAGACTGCTTTGAAAATTTTCAATGCTATTTTACTTAAATGTGATTGAATTCTTTAAATTCTATATTATTTGAAGTACTAGAAAATATACTCAAGTATCAAAGGGGTCGTTCATAAATGATGTCAATCATAAATTAGGTTTCTTGTTTCATCAAATTTATTTCTATTGCTGCATGAAAGTATCTCACAGCTTCAGCCTCATTTTCACTTTTTAAAATTTAAAAATCATTTATGATCAACCCCACAGCATTGTTAGGTTTAAATTTAAATTTCATGAAAAATTCAAAACTTTTCTAGGAAAATTTGTCCCCATTTTTTATATCAAAAGAGAAAATTTCCTTCCAATTTGCATGCTTAATATTTTTGTGTGAACATGTCACAATCAATAAATCATAATTCTCAAGTATTCATGCAACATACATCTTTCCTTGTTCTTGTATTTGCCCTAGAACTGTAAAGCACACAGCTGAAAATTTTCAAGGTGGATGAAAATTTGACTTGATGTGAAAGGCAAACAGAATAGCGAATGTGAAGGGAAATATGAAAATTTGTTCACTTAAATAATCGAGTTTATGTTCATGCTTCTTCTCATTCTAGAGATGAATGTTCATAATTTTAAGTAACTTCCTTTGAAAATTTCTTTAATTTCGTTTGTTTGTGAATTTTTAATGAACGACAGTGATGAGGAATTTCACCACCTTAAGTATTAAAAACTTCATTGAAAATCAAGTTTTCATCACGATTTGATGAAATTTCATTTATCAGACATGCTCACGCTCTTCCATTTTTTTTTTTGTTGAGGGGTTGAAAAAATGAATATGAACACGAGAAAAAAATTTAATTACGTTTTTATTTCATTCCGAGCCAAAAAAAAGGAATTTCTTGAATAATTTAATTTTAATTTTTAAAGAAGAAAAAAATTCGTTTTAAAGTTCAGATGTGAAACAATGTTTTGTGTGCTCTTGTTGCAGAGTTGATTTAATTAAATTAAGCAGATGAAGGAGAGCATTTTGAAGTCTGAATATTTTATCGACGATAAACTTTTTGAGAACAAAGCCTTCAGAAATATTCGTCGAATTGATTCGAAACAAAGTTTAAAGAAAAAACCAAAGTTATGTTTTTGACAAATTCTAAAGAACTTCAATTCATTAAAAATAAATTTGTTCGGAAGTAAAATGTTATAAAGTCTTGAACAATTTTAAAAATTAAATTAGTTGCAAGTTTCGTTTTGCATCATTAAAAACTTTCTTTTGTGATTGTTTCTTGTAGGACAGACATGATACTTTGAGCATTGAAAACTTTTTCATATGAGTTCATATGTTTTAGCTGAGCGCACCTTTATTTCTCGATTGTATGATATCTAGACGAACTCCTTTTGGCATAAAAACCAGCAGGCGGGTTGTTGAGGAAGAGGTTTCAAAAGCTCCTTCTATTCTAGGCTACGACCCTGAAAACCAACACGTATAAACGCAGCATTAACCTCGGAAATTCCAAATATCCGCGCACTTTCTGTTATTGTTTATTGGTATATTGGTCCTCGATTCGAATAAGTGTATTATTCCAAACAAATTCCATTAGTCAGCTATAAGACTAGGATGTAAACTGATTATATAGGCAAAATGAAAATATTAAGTAATCTGTTAAGTTCCAGGTCTTTGCTAGAGTAGAGATTTTTAATGTAATTCGGAATATCATTTCATAAGCAGTCATACTCCCTTTTTATGACCAGAATCATCAAATCATTATTTGCAACTTCCTTGCATGTCAGGAAGTTCTTAGATTTTTGGAGTTGTTCGACGACACAATTATAAGCAATTTAATCAAAAAATGCCTCCAATCAAACTAGTTTGCGCATCAAAACGTATATGCTGTGCATTAATTTAAAACCTTTCATTTGTGAATATTTGCCATTGTTTTTGAGAGTCAATGAATAAATATTTCCTCTCAAATAAACATTTTAATGAACATATCAGTCTGAACATCAATCTAAGCCATCCCTTTCATACAACAATGTAATATCAGTCAGAAAATAATTTCAGGAGAGTCAGGAGTATAAACTTTCAGAGATTTTAATCAATATGCTGATTACGAGCTGCAGACGTAAAAGTTTTGATAACTATAGACCAAGGGTCAGACACTCCAGATTGTACAATCCTTACAATCCTTACAATCTTTATATGAGAAGGATTGTAGGGATTGTAATCCTTACAATCCTTATATGGAAAAGATTGTAGGGATTGTAATCCTTACAATCCTTTCCATATAAGGATTGTAGGGATGAAATAATTGTATGGAACATTTAAAAATGTTTTTCATAGGTTATTAAAGAA